CGATAGCAGCACAACATACCAGAATTTATGGGACACAATGAAAGCAACATTAAGAGGGAAATTTATGGCAGTGAGTAGCCATATCAGGAAAACAGCAAGTAGACAACTTCGTGGTAGCCTCAAGCTTTTAGAAAAAGAAGAGCAGACCAAGCCAAAAGCTCATATGAGGGAGGAAATTATAAAGCTCCGAGCAGAAAGTAATGCATTGGCGACTAAAACAATAATACAAAGAATCAATGACTTGAGGAGTTGGTTCTTTGAAAAATTAAATAAAATTGACAAACGCTTATCCAACTTTATAAAAAAGGAAATAAAAGGCTGAAATCCACACAATTAGGAATGAAAAGGGTAAAATCACAATTGACCCTACAGAAATCCAGAAAATCATCTATACCTACATTGAAAACTTGTATTCTAATAGGAAGAAAAATGCAGAAGAAATGAACAGATTCCTAGATACATATGAATTACCAAAATGGAGTCAAGAAGATATAAAAATCTTAGATAAACCAATATCAGTCAATGACATTGAAGATGTAATTAAAAGCCTACCAAGAAAGAAAAGCCCAGGCCCTGACAGATTCACTGCTGCATTCTGCAAGAAATTTAGAGAAGACCTGACACCACTACTTCTCAAATTCTTCAAGGAAGTCAAAGGGAAGCAGCACTCCCAAATTCATTCCTGGAAGCAATCACTACCAAGGTACCAAAACTGGAGAAGGACCCAACTAAGAAATCTCCCTACTGAACATAGACACAAAAATCCTCCATAAGATGCTGGCAAATCATCAAGCAATAGATCATCAAGAACATTATACCCCGCACACCATGACCAAGTGCAATTCATTCCAGGGATGCAGGGATGGTTCAACACACACAAATCAACAAATGTAATCCACCATATTAACAAAGCCAAACAGAAATCATATGATCATCTCCATAGATGTAGGAAAAGCTTTTGGCAAAGTCCAGCACCCGTTCATGATAAAAACCTTACAGAAAATTGGAATAGAAGTTCTTTATCTCAATCTGGTAAAAGCCATCTATGACAAATTAACAGCCAACATCTTATGAAATGCACAAAACCTGGAAGCTTCCTCTCTAAAAGCAGCAACAAGACAAGAATGTCCACTGTCTCCACTCTTATTCAACATCGTCCTGGAAACTTTCACCAGAGCATTCACACAAGAGAAATAAATAAAGGGAATAGTGATAGAAAAATAAGAAGTTAAATTACCATTATTTGTAGATGACATGATGCTCTACACGGTAGACTCCAAAACGCTACTAAAAACCAGCTAGATTTAATAAGCAAATTCAGTAGTGTAGCTGGATACAAAGTCAGCACTCAAAAGTCAGTAGCACTGCTGGGGATTTAGCTCAGTGGCATAAGAGCCTGCCTGGCAAGCACAAGGTTGTGAGTTCGATCCTCAGTACAAAAAAAAGTCAATAGCCTTCCTTGCATGAATAACCGACTCACTGAGAGAGAAATTAGGGAAACAGGGAAACAGTAATGCCCCCCAAATGAAATGCCTATGAATCAGTCTAACAAAGGGTGTAAAAAGGCCTCTACATTGAAAACTATAGTACTCTGAAAAAGTACTGTAAAAGTACATTGAAGAGGATATCAGAAATGGAAAGATATCCCGTGGGGCTGGGGATTTAGCTCAGCGGCATAAGCACCTGCCTTGCAAGCAGGCAGTCGTGAGTTCGATCCCCGGTACCGATAAAAAGGAAAAAGACAAAAAAAAAAAGGAAAGATATCCCTTGAGCTTGGGTAGAAAGAACCAATATGGTGAAAATGACTGTACTTCCAAAACTGTTACACAGATTTAATGGAATTCCGATCAAGATTCCAATAGCATGTCTCACACAATTAGAAAAAACAATCCTAAAATTCAGCCTGAGCTGCATACCAGGACCGTGTCTCAAAAGACAAAAAAAGAAAAAGAAATACAAACCCAAAGATCAATGGGATGGATTAGAAGATACAGAAACAACTCCAGACATAATCAGCTACCATATCTTTTTTTTACAATGAAAAAAAACCCATAAAAATCAATAAGCAAACCAACCAAAACAACAACAGCAAAACAAGAAACAATAACAATATAGGTTTTTTAAGCAAAATGATCTGAATTTAACAGTGGTTGTTATACTGCTTATTGTTATCTTCAAAATAGTTGCTCAGGTTACCAGATACAGGATAAAACAAACATTAAAATGAAACAAAATATTGGACTTCAAAAACAAGACGAAGGAAATCCCCCACAGTTGCTATAATGCATATTGTTATCCTCCAGGCCAGCTTTAAGCCTGCAAAGTCAATCAAGCATTAAGTTTTGTTTTTTATTTTTTTACTTTAGTTGCTCTCCATCTCAGCCTGAGCTCCTCCGAATCAGCCAGCCACCTGCCAGGTGGGAGACTGTGTGATGCTCTTTTTGTCTCCAAGCCCACACCCCAGCCATAGCCACTTTATCTTTGACAAAAGTAATAAACTCATTCACTGGAAAAAAGACAGCCACTTTAATAAACGGTGCTGAAACAACTCGCTCTGCACATGCCAAAGGTTAAAATTGGATCCATGTCTTTCACTATGCACTAAACCAAATTTGAAATGGATCAAAGAGCTACATATTAGAACAGAAACATTAAATATGCTGGAGGATAGAGGAGCTGAAACTCCTGCAGACATTGGTGTAGGCCAACACTTTATGAGCAAAACCCCAGCTGCACAGGAACTATCCCAAAGAATCAACAACTGGAACCTCATCTTATTAAAAGGCTTTTGCACAGCAAGAGAAACCACAAACAGAGTGAAGACACCCCATAATGTGGAGAAAATGTTTTTCAGCTGTTCCTCAGACAAAGGATTGCTACCAAAAACATACAAAGAACACAAAAGAATCAGACCTCCCAAATTTAAACAGCCAATCCAAAAATGGGGATCTGAGATGAATACACACTTCTCAGATGAAGAAATTCAAATAGCAAATAAATCTATCAAAAAATATTCAACATCACCGGTCATTCGAGAGATGCAACTTAAAACAACACTGAGATTCCACCTCGCCCCAGAAAGAATGGCTATCATCAAGAAATCAACGAATAACACATGCTGGAGGGGCTGTGGGGAAGAAGGAACCCTTCTCCACTGTTGGTGGGAGTGCAGTGTCTGGTGCAACCACTGTGGAAATCAGTGTGGAGATTCCTCAAGAAACTAGAATTGAAAAAAAAATTTTAAAAATAGGGCTGGGGATTTAGCTCAGTGGCATAATCACCTGCCTTGCAAGCAGGCAGTCATGAGTTCGATCCCTGGTACTGATAATAAATAAACAAATAAAGAAATAAAGAAATAAAAACTAATTGGAGGTCCCATTTGATCCAGGTATTTCCCTTCTGGTTATCTTCCCAGAAGAATTAAAAAACATTGAATAGAGGAAGAGAAAAGGCCAGTGTCTCCCAAGAATCTGCCATGCTGGGTCTTGGTGAACCAACCAAGAAATCAACAATGCAGTCTTCCAGCCTGAGCTGATAGCAACTAAGGTGCATAAAGCGATTAACTGCTGGTATTCTTTGGATGATTTTGCAGGCCTGGGGCCTGGGGATGACAGTAGGCATTATAGCAAATATGGCAGACTTCCTTCTGTCTTGTCTTTGAAGTCCAATATTGTTCTCACTGTTTTGGTTTGTTCTGACTGTTTTGCTCTATTTAATATTCTGTTTTGATTGACTTTATTATATTTTGTTTTGGATTTGATTTTGCTAGACCTGATGGAATGAACAGCTCTTATGATGATAACAAGATATATTATGGTAGCTGTTATTGTTTTCCTGGTAATCTGCCCTGAAGTTCTGTACAAATTTTGCTGCATTGACTTGACTGACTTTGTTTTGTCTTGCTTTGTTGTATGGTTTTTTTTTTTTTTTTTTTTTTTGTCTTTTTCGTTTTCATCGGTACCAGGGATCAAACTCACGACTGCCTGCTTGCAAGGCAGGCGCTTAGGCCACTGAGCTAAATCCCCAGCCCCTGTTGTGTTTTAATATATTTAAAATTTTAAAAAAATTTAAGGGGCTGGGGATTTAGCTCAGTGGCCTAAGCGCCTGCCTTGCAAGCAGGCAGTCGTGAGTTTGATCCCTGGTACCGATGAAAACGAAAAAGACAAAAAAGAAAATGAAAAAAAACCCATCAAATCACAGCAATATATATGCACTCATGTTTATAGCAGCACAATTTGTAATAGCTAAATCTTGAAACAAGCCAAATGCCCACCAACCGAAGAATGGATAAAAAAGATGTGGTCTTGTTTATACAGTGGAGCACTATTTGGCCATAAAGAAGGATAAACTGGAGACATTTATAAATAAATGGATCCAACTCAAGACCATATTCATGAATGCAATAAACCAGACACACACATGTAAACATCACATTGTCTCCCTCGTGTGAGAAGCTAGAGTACACACAGTGTACAATAGATATTGTAAAATGAGAAGAAGCTTCAAAAGGAAAGAGAAATTGGGATGGGGGAATGGAGAAGGAGGAGAAAATATAGATAGATAGATAGATAGATAGATAGATAGATAGATAGATAGATGATAGATAGTTATGCTACCATTTCTTTTAGTTCACTGAAAAGAGGTTTGTGGTAACACTAACTTAAGGATAACAATACACGATGTATTAACCTCTGTTATCCTCTTATTATGTTGTTTTAAATTTTTTCTCTTTAAAATTAAAAAAGAGAAAGAAATGTTAGAAAAACGGTCCCCTGTGAGGCCGTGGCTTAGGGGCCAGCCGAGCAGTGACACCCAGCTGGTCCTGTGCAGCCCTCAGGCGCCCACCCCCAGCCCTACCCTTCAGGCTCTGAAGGCAAAATGTTGGGGTAGGGGGGGGGATGTGGCCACCGCGGCCTGAGAGCAGAGAGAGCAGCCGGCCACGTGGCCCAGCTGCATGTCCTCGGTGGCCACGCCTGGAAGCCTGGACTTTGGCTGACTGGGACGGGAAGGTGAGGAAGGAGCCCAGCCTCGCTCGCTCCGTCCAGCTCGCTGCTGCCATGGCCGTGAGGACCTGGGGGCTGGCGCTGCTCCTTCTGCTGGGGCTGGGGTCCCAGGAAGCTCTGCCCCCACCCTGTGCGAGGTAGGTGCGTAGGGAAGGCGGGGCAGGGGGCGAGGCTGGCTGAGGGCTCACAGGCTGGGGGTCAGTGCCGCAGAGCCAAGGGAGGGAAGAGGGCTTCCTGGGCAGCGCGCTCCACGCTGGGCGCTGCACCTCCGCCCAGCACAGGACGGACAGACCGGGGCTGGCCCGGGCACCGACCCGCAGCCCACTGCCCACTGCTGCCCTCCCTGCTGCTCCTTCACCCGAGCAGGGCTGGGCTCAGGATGTCCCAGCAAACCTTCTGCCCGGCGTCCCTGGCCTGGGAGTGACAGCGTCCAGAGCCTGGGTGTGGACACGTTGGTGTAAGGCCTGGCCCTGTGCTCGCTGTGGCCCAGGACAAGTCCCACCTCCCTCCTGAGCCCCAGCTTCCCTCAGCAGATACAGAGATGAGGGAGCCCACCCTGCCCACCCCACTCGGGGTGCCGCCCGCTGCACTCCACGCAGGCTCCCTCTCACCGTCCCCCTGCGTCCCCAGTTCTTACAAGAAGAGTAAAAACAGCAGCTAAAAAGGGAGAGGAACACAGCTCACAGGAACACTGCTCCCAAGCCAGAGTGAGCAAAAGGCATTTGAGAGGTGAGAGGTGATGTGTGAGCAGAATTCTGGAGGGAACCATCCCTGAGCAGATACAAGAGAGAAGGTGCAGACATGAAACTGCAATGCAAAGGCCCTGGGGCACCTTTCAAGCACTGGGAACAAGGCCTGTGCAACTGGAGCAGAGATGGGAACAGACCAGGGGACAGAAGGGGATCTGAGGAAAAGGAGACCAGGGCCTGTGCTCCAGGGGCAGGACTGGGGATGGTGCCGAGTGCTGCAGAAGGAGATGTACTTTGAAGACCGAGCTATTTAGACTTGGTGATGATTGACTGTGAACTCAGAAGGAAATGGGTGTATCTGGAGTAGTTCCTAGGTTTTGTCCTGAGCAACTGAAATAAGGACTCAGAGGGGCTGTGTGACCACGCGTTTGGCAGGCGTTAGGTTATTTGCCAAACGTGTAGAAAGAGCAGACTCACCAGCTGGTAATTCCCACGATGATGGTTTGTCTCTGTGAAGAAACCTACGAAACCATCAAAGCTGCAGCAGGCAGGAAGGGCAGAGCCCAGGAGAAGTCTCCCAAGGGACTGACCAAGCAGCACTTCCTTTTGCCAGCCACAGTGTGTGACAACACCCAGGACATCACCAACCAGAAAACTCCCTGAGTCCTGGTGTCAGGCGGTTCTTAGGGTCAGTCATAGAGTGTGGAGTACCTGATGGGGTGATCTTTGTTACTTGGTCTCCAGATCTCCAAAGGTCAATCTGATATTGGGTGGCCAAAGGCCCACTCAATAAATCATATTAGCATAAAATATCTGGCCTTGTCCAAGGTCCCAGGCAAACAAAAACAGGCAGGGTGTGAACCCAGCAAGCCTTTGCCATGCCAGCCACTGGCTGCCCGATGAAGAATCCGTGTGGTCTTTGTCCTGGGTTCCTGGGAGGTGACCTCTATGGTGCGAGTGTGTTGATCACAGGATGCCCTGACAGTTGACCCCAGGAAGATGACTTAGGGTGGATTCCTTGGTAGTTTCTGCTTAGGATATCACTCAAAATAGAGATGGGCAATGTCAGAAATACGGACAGTGTTTTTAAAGGTTGAGGCTTTGAACCGTGTTATCAGCCCAACCTCTTGGTCTTCAGGAAGGGGAGGGTGGCTGGGATGGAGTTCAGTCACGCAACCTTATTGAATCAGGAAAACCCACGTAATGGGACCCAATAAAAACTCAGGGCTGTGCCAGGTGTGAAGGCTCATTCCTTTAATGCCAGCTACTCAGGAGAGCTGAGGCAGGAGGATTCCAAGTTCAAGGCTAGCTTGGATAACTTGGCAAGACCCTAGCTCAAAGTTTAAGAAACCAAGTATTGGAGGTGTTGCTCAGATGCAAACACTTGCCTACCATGAGCCAACCCCTAGGCTCGAACCCCGAACAACAGCAACAACAATAACAGAAAACCCTCTGGACTCCAAAGACAGCTGGAACTTTCTGGATGAGGAGAACACAGAGGAGTGAGGAGCCAGGAGAGGCCATGAAGCCGAGGGTCCCCCAGCCTCTCCCATGGATGTCATTTGGCTACTCCTGATTTCCACCCCTCTCAAGCCCACGGCTGTAATAGTGGGGATAGTGCTTCCCTGAGCTGTATGGAGCTGAGGGTTCCTGGGAACCTCTGCATTCACAGCCAGTCGGTCAGGAGTGCAGTAGGCCAGGGACCCCTGAACTTAGAGCTGGCAGTCTCTCTGGGGACCATGCTGTCAACCTGGTGAGTGTGTGCACTAATTCCAGAAGGGAGGTGCAGAATTAAACTGCAGTTGGTGTCAGAAAAATGTACCATTGGTGAGAATGATGCAGACCCTTTGAAATGGGTGGTTTGGGAGGGTGGGGTTGGAAAGTCTTAAGGAAATTTATCTCCTGGGTCTTTTCAGGTTCCTTGTGATACTGAAGAGCAGCTGCTCAATGTTAAATCCTTCTTAATGGGATTTAGAGATGGTGGGTCCACTTCCTGGGACTTAATTATGCATAAGGCAATAGACTAGTAAGAAAAAAGCAAGACACAATGCCTATCCATTACTATATACAGCTAAAATGTAAGGAAGAGAGGGGCCGCGCTTAAACCCAGTGAGACCACAGGCTCCCGCTGCCACACAGGAGCCCAGGCACTGCGGTACCAAAGCGATCGTGGGAGCTGTGGCCCTAGTGAGCGCTCCAGGTAAACTCAGAGGATGTCACAATGCAAGGACTGACTGAGTCAGAACGAAAGTTCAGATGCAAATGAAGCATTTGAACAGGCTTTTTGTGAAGTGACTGTTCCTCCCTCCCCCAAAGGTCTGGTGGAAATGGAAACAAAGTCTACTTGGGGAAGGTCTCCCTACTAAGCATCAGGAAATGAAAACCTACTGGCTTGTCCTAAGAGGGCCACAGGGAGGAATTGAGGTTGATGGGACTTAGCTAAAGTCTGGATGAAGGTGGGTGCATTCGAACAGGTTTTATTTATGCACTGGTGAGGATCAAACCCAGGACCCTGCTCTAAACGAGCCCTGGCCCTGTGCTGCATGCCCAGCCCGTGTTTGAACAGATCTTGTGTGACACGGTTGTGACCCTTGCCTTCACCCTACTGTGGGAATGGCTACTGCCCAGGAACATTTCCACCACACAGTGCTGTGAAGCAGAGATGTGTGACACCTCATGTGGCCATCAGGTAGTGACCACTGGACCTTCCAAGTGGGGGCCAGTGAGATGCCTGGGAGCAGAGAGCATCTCCTCGCATAACTGTCAAGACTCTGGAGTAGGGAAGTTCCAGTAGAAGGTTTCCTGTCAGCTTGCTAACAATTGTTAGACATTGTCCCTAAAACTGAAGAACCTCGAAACCTGAAATTCCTCGGACACTTGGGCAATGATGGAGCAGCGCTCTCAGTTAAGGCACCACCTGTGCTAAAACATGCACAGACAGTATGGGAACACGCAGCTGGGCAGACAGAGTCACCGAGTCCGGGAGTTGATGGACTCTTTTCCCCTAGCACTGGCTTTGGAACTGTGCGAGGAGCTGCTTGCTTCCACTGCCACCTGGTCAGTGGCCTGGGAGCAGCTCTGGGGGGGGGGGGTGCCCAGGGCTGTTGGCTTGTGGCCCCAGCTCTGTGCCAGGCAGCCTGCTGTTTGGAGGCTGTTACTCCCATCAGGAAAAGATGAGACTAAATCATTGTGGGTTAACCTGCCATATATGTTTTCTGCCGTTGTGTACTGAAGAGAGATGTATGTTTTGTGCCTCAAAAGCCTAATAGGGTTACACTGAGTGTAACTTAATCTGCGGTGCCTGAAGTTGTCCCGCAGCCCCCTTCCTTGGGTGAGGACGGAGTCTGGGCAGCCTGGGAGATGCCTGCAGCTCTAGTCCCGTTAGACGCTTCCTTCTCCGCCGTGTGAGTAGCTGTCTGTCTGCATTTGCCCGTGTGACACACAGTGGCACGGGCCATGCTGCTGCTGCTTCATTGAGGCATACCCAGGGCTTTCTGAGCATTTAATTATCAAGGTTTACTCTTCCACGGTGATTAACCTGACACACAGTCCAAGGGGAGGGAGTAGCTCCCGGAAACTTTTCCTAGTACTCTGCCCTCCTTTCTAGTGGATGGAGTCAAAGCCTGGGGCATTCCCACAGCCACACTCAGTCCTCAGCAGTTGGCCCAACTCGTCACCTTATTGTGTGGCCAGGGCATCAGAGCCGGGCTGCTCAGTTTTGTGGGTGTCCACTGCAGCTCATCAGGTCCCTAAAGTAAGGGACTCTTGGCCAGCGCCTGGCTCTTCTTCCTGAGCTGGTATAGCTTACGTCACTCCAGGCAGCAGTGCCATGTTGGATTTTCCTCATCATACAACACGTATGTTTATTTCCTTCCCCTCGGCTCCCATCCTCCTCCTCTCCACTAGCCATTGATTTTTATCAAGCTTTTCCATGTTTGGAGGCATATTGGGTTCACCCACTGTGTGGTGCAGATTACTGGTAGCAATGTGGGTCTAACAGGTTACCCCCTCTGGGCTCCTTCATATAGGATAGGGGTGCAAGGAAGCAGAATTAGGGGGCTGGCTCAGGCTGCAGGCAATGCAGTTGTTTCCCTGATGGGCCCACCAAGCTAGATGGGTGAACCCACCCCATGGACTCTTCAAACTTATAAAAAGGCTTCAGGGTACAGGTGGAATTCCTCGCTTGGGAACCACCCCTGCTTCTGACACCCACAAAAGGTTCTGGTCCTAGGATCACTGTATCAGGTAGGAAAAAAAGTATCTGGATGATGTGGGGGGAAACTGTACAGTTCTATAGGCGACGCCCCCTTTCTCCAGGCCCGCCCAGATATCAGGGAATCTGTGCAGTGGTCACTTTTTCTTTGCCCCTTTATGTTGCATGTGACCACACTCTTGTGAAGATGTGTAAGCCACTCTTCCGTGCCTCCCCTATTTCAAACAACGAGTGTTAAAATTGGTTGAGCCATTACTCTGAAGAGTTCTCACAACACAACACGTCCACTAGCTGTGATGTCCCTTGACCCATTCTTGTACACTTCTATTTATTTATTTAGTTAGTTAGTTTTTGAGACAGGGTCTTACTACATAGTGCAGGCTGGCTTTGAACTCACTATGTAGCCCAGGCTGGCCTCAAATTCGTAGCATCCTCCTGCTTCAGCATCCCAAGTGCCGGGATTACAGGCATGTGCTACCACCACGCCCAGCTCTGCTGTGTTTCTTGATCTGAGAAGAAGTAGCCCTGTAGCCCACATGGGTGCAGTATCATCCAAGTCAAGATAGCATTTTGCAGAATTTTGAGCATTTGCATCTACATCCAGTTAAGTGCAGCTACTCTAATGCCCGCCCCCAGGTACGTGTAGTGCTTTCCACAGACTGTGACTCTTAAATAGTCAAGTTTCTCACGGCTCATCTGCTAGGCTACTGGCCAGCAGCTTTTTGCAGTCACTGAAGAGCCATTTGTGGAGCAGGTGCTCCCAGGTGGCCGCAGGATTTATCATCGCCCTTGTGGCTTCCCAAGCTGGCTCTGAGGGCAAAGGGCTGCGGGCACAGAGGGCACCTCTTGCACCACCTGCAGTGTGCTCCTGAGGGAGCCGTTGCCCTGCCTTCTTTATCAGAGTGGGGACTGAATGTCACCAAGCATCACAGGCATTTCGGGTGTTGCGTCCCACTGTCATGGAGCTGTTTCACTGAGTGCTCGAGAGTGAACTGGTGATTCTTTCTCAGACGGCATCTCTGTTCATCTACATCTACAAATGTTCTGGTTGAAGGTCTCAGCAATCGCTGCCTGGGACAGCCCTGACTTTGGTCATAGTCCCTTCCACACGAGGGTACTGTGCAGAGCTGGTCAGTGCCAGGCCTCTAGCATGTTGCTGATTAGAGAGCTAAGCTCCTTCCTGCTCCGTGCTGTGTCCAAAGATCAGCCAGTGAGGGCCTGGGCAATTATACCACACAAGCACCCTGCTCGCTCTCAGCTCTGTGTGTCCCTACCACCTGCAGACGGCCACCACAGCACACAGGTGCCCCGTGCATGGCACAGCCTCGGAGAACATACCTGGAGCAGCCTTCCCAGGACTCTCTCGCCCTCTCTTCTGACCCACTTTCCCCTTTATGTCTCTGCAGCCAGATTTACTGCTATGGCGAGCTCCTGCATCAGGTTCAGATGGCCAAGCTCTACTCTGATGACAAGAACTTCGTGGATATGTCACTGTCCAAAGATCCAGGTGAGGCCACCTCACTTTCTGAATCTTTACTCAAAGATAGCAGGGCGGAGGGCAGGTGCCTCTGATCACACAGGGCTCGGGGACTCTCCTGACCCCTGCCGGCTGCTCTCCAGACCAAGTCCTGCAGAGTTTCCGCGCGCTGGCCACGGCCCACAATGGCAGTATCCCCAGACAGCAGCTGCAGGAGTTCGTCCATCAACACTTCCGGTCTGTGGGGCAGGAGCTGCTGGCCTGGACCCCCGAGGACTGGAAAGACAGGTACAGCCTGGACAGAGGATAGGAGACGCCCTGCTGACAGGGCTGCCTGCCTGAGCCCTGCGGGGCGCTCTTTCAGCCCCCAGTTCCTACAGAGGATTTCAGATACCAAGCTGCGTGCCTGGGCAGAGGACCTGCACCAGATCTGGAAGAAGCTGGGTAAACAGGTAGCAGTGTACTGGGCCTGACCCAAAGTGCTGGGGTGCGGAGAGCTGTGCCTGTTAGGGACCCACAGCACCCCAGAACACACATGTTTCCTGAAAACACACCCTCTTCCCGCTTGCTTCTGGAATGAAAGCCCTCTAGAAAGCACTGCTGAGATCAGAGGGGAGCGCTGCTCCTCACCTCCACCCCTCTGGGAAGTCTCCCCAGTCTCTCCTGCCCCCCTCCAGGCTCCCCTCTCCCCGGGGGCCTGGGCCAGCTCTGGCTCAGGGACAGTCACTGCATGTCACTGCTGCGTGCAGCTGAGCCCACGCCCAGCACAGTCCTGAGGGACTTTCTCCCTTGCTCTGAGGCTCTGCGAGCCGGTGGCTTGCCCACAGCTGCCCAGGTCACCTGCCCCTCCTCTGCTCGGCCTGTGGCCTGCTGCTCCTGGCACGGGGAACTGCTCAGGGCCCCTTTGGCAGCTCGGCCCCCTCGGGAACGCACCTGGTCCTGTTGGTCTGCTGCTCCCTCAGAATGAGCAGGGCGGGCTGAGGTAGAGGCGATGGGAATGGGCAGAGAGAGGACCTGATGGGCCTGCAGGCTGCGCTGCTCCTGCCCTAGCCCGCCCTTCGCCTTGTCCTCCCGCACCCATCATGCCTGGGGAAGGGGCTGGGGCTTGGTCCCCACCTGGGCCAGAGACTTGGGGGTCTCATTCTCTAGGCCTGGCTTGGTGGTGGGATATAGGGGGACATAGGGGGCTAAGGAGAAGAACCAGCATCCCCGTACCCACTTAGCTATGCCTGGGTCACAATGATGAGCGCTATCTGTCGATTCAGTTATTTTTCTCTTTGCTGAGATAGAACACCTGATACCCAAAGTTAAAGAATAAAAGGTTTATTTGGCAGTTTGTAGAGGTTTCAGTCCAGTGTTGGCTGACTCCCAGGCAGGCTGGCGGGGCAGAGGGGCACTGGAGAAGAGAAACAGTTCATGGCACGCAAAAGGCAGGAAATCAGGAAAAGCAGCAAGCGACAAGCAACCCCAGCAGCCCTCTTTCTGCCACTTATTTTGTGTCCAGGTTACGCCCTTAGCACTCACCTCTGGGGCGGGGCTTCCATTAGCCACGCCCACAGCCGTGCCGAGCCAATCTGTGGACTAGTTTAGTAATCACACCCTTTCAATCCCAGTTTCCCATACTGTAGATCCAGCCACCCCTGAAAAGCCCCACCTGTAGGACCATGAGACTTTGGAGGGGACCTCTAGATACAAGCCATTACACCTGTCCAGTGCCAAGCTGAGCGGTCAGCTTCTATACAGCATCAAGCAGTCAGAGGCTGGCACATGGGGGCGGGTGAGGACACCCAGCCTCCAGCAGCTGGTCCTTGACCACGCGGCCAAGCGGCAGCAGACACAACCTGGTTCCCCAGCTATGGCGTCAGTGTGTCCCACAGCCCCCGCCCCTGTACTGTGCCCCTCTCCTGACTCCAGATAAAGCCGGAAGTTCTCAGCAACCCTGAGCGATTTTCTCTGATCTACTCAAAACATCCTTTCATTGTGCCTGGCGGGCGCTTTGTTGAGTTCTACTACTGGTGAGTACCCAGGGGACCCCACTGGGGCCAGCAGTGTGAGGGAACTCTGAGCTAGTGCTCTGCCAGCCTGGTGTGTGGGGCAGCGAGTAGCAGTGGCCTGATGCCTGTCTGCCCTTCCCCAGGGACTCCTACTGGGTCATGGAGGGTCTGCTCCTCTCTGAGATGGCCGAGACAGTGAAGGGCATGCTGCAGAACTTCCTGGACCTGGTCAAGACGTAAGAGGAGGCTGGAGGAAAGGCAGGTATGCCTCGGGCTCGGGCAGAGGGCATCTCAGCAGGCCCCTATCTCGGCAGCTATGGACACATCCCCAACGGTGGACGCATATATTACCTGCAGAGGAGCCAGCCGCCCCTCCTGACCCTCATGGTGGACCGCTATGTGGCTCACACCAACAACACCGCTTTCCTGCGGTATGTACCTCACCTGTACCGCCCTGCAGGCCTCCCCCTCCCTGAGACCTCTCAAGGCGAGGAGCTGGCCCAGGCTGAGGTGTGGCACGTGGGACTCCATCCCAGGGAGAACATCGAGACCCTAGCCTTGGAGCTGGACTTCTGGACCGTGAACAGAAGCGTCTCTGTGAACTTGGGAGGACAGAACTACACCCTGAATCGCTATTATGTTCCCTATGGGGGACCCAGGTGAGGAACCGCCCAGCCCAAGTGTCAGTCCCATGTCCTTCATTGGAATGTGAGCGTCACCAAGACAGGGCTGCAGGAAGAGGAATTCATCCAGCCTCTCCGATGTGAGACTGAATGTGCTCAGCCACCCAGGGATGTGGGCCCCTGGGCAGCTGAGTCAAGAGGGCTGGACCTTCTGCTCCAGCAGAGGGCTCAGTGCCTGCCAGTGCCAAGCTGCCCATCTCTCCCCTCTGCTAGGCCGGAGTCCTATAGCAAAGATGAGGAGTTGGCAAACACCTTGCCGGAAGGTGAGCAGCACCAAGGAGGAGGGCAGGGGACAGCAGCTGGACCTCTGAGGTGCGTGTCGGGCCTTGGTCCACTGCTACGTTACCCTACAGCCAGGCCTGGCCTGGTGCCCTCTCTGTCTTTACAGGGGATCGAGAGGCTCTGTGGTCCGAGCTCAAGGCTGGGGCTGAGTCAGGTTGGGACTTCTCTTCCCGCTGGCTGGTTGAAAGCCCAAACCTTGACTCGCTCAGTAGCATCCAAACCAGCAAACGGGTGCCAGTTGACCTGAATGCCTTCCTGTGCCAGGCAGAGGAGCTGATGAGCAACTTCTATGCCAGACTGGGTGAGTACCGGGGGAGGGTGCTGGCCGTGGAACTGCTGGTGGCCCCATAGCGTGAAAGGCTCCCCAGCCTGATCAGATGCCCTCAGGAGAGGCCAGTGCTACCAACACGGGGGTACAGATGGAGCTGTCACATGCTCACTCTGCCTTGCTTTCCTACATGAAGGTCTCTAGGGCCTGTGGGAAACACTGCATCCCAAAGCCTCCCACTTCCTCTGCCCAGTGCTGCCCTGGGGCCCCTCAGAGCCAGGAAATCCATAGATCCAGTGTCCTGTGGAGGATAAACTCCCAGCGGACACACCATTGCTCGGGGATTCTGCAAACTACAAGTGTGGACTGCAGGGAGACCCAGCCCCAGGGCCTCAGGACAGCTTAGTCACTGGGGAAGAAGCCAAGTGGAGCCAGGGCTGAGGGCGTAGTTCAGTAGAGCACTCGCCACACGTGCCACACGTGCACGCTGGGTTTCATTCCCAGTGTCACAAAACAAAGAACAGAAAACGAAAGGTAGTGTAGAACCATCCAACACATGGGACCCAAGGCAGGCTCAGTCTAACGGCAGTGTCTTCCAGGGGACGATGTCCAGGCTGCCAGGTACAAAGCCCTGAGGAACCAGCGCCTGACTGCCATGCAGGCTGTCCTGTGGGATGAGCAGAAGGGGGCCTGGTTTGACTATGACCTTGAGAACATGAAGAAGAACCTCGAGTTTTATCCCTCCAACCTCGCCCCACTCTGGGCCGGCTGCTTCTCTGACCCTGGTGTTGTGGACAAAGCTGTGAAGTACTTAGAGGTGAGGGGACAGTGGGCAGCTGTGGCCCCTGGAGTAGGACCCTCCTGGCTGAGCAGGGGACCTGGCAGGACCAGCTGCGCTTGTTACCTTTTGTGGCCACCAGAGGGCAGCAGAGAGCCAAGGAGAGAAGGGCCAGGGAGGGCACTGCTGGTTTCCTGAGGGTCCAGGGTACTGGCCCCGTGTCCAGGCTCCACCCACAGTCAAAGCAATGTCTGGAACCTTCTAGGACAACCAGATCCTGACTCACCAGTATGGGATCCCGACCTCTCTCCACAACACAGGCCAGCAGTGGGACTTTCCCAATGGCTGGGCCCCCCTGCAGGACCTGGTCATCAGAGGTAGGAAGACAGGCATGGGGAACCCGCCAAGGCCCAAACCCGGACTGCAGGACTCCGCTGTCCTGCGACTGGGGAGGCATGAACAGGGATGCAGGGCCCCTCGCCCTTTCCCTGGCTCCTGTCTCTGGCTTCCGCCCCATCAGCAAATTGTTCCATCCCACCTGTCAGTGCGACCAGCCTCCTCTCTCCCTCCAAACCCAGACGCTGGATTGCCAGCAGCTTGGCCTGTGGCTCCAGAAGGGAGGTCTCAGGGCCCGGGCCTCGCTTCCTCCTTGGGGACAGAGAGCCTGGCCTCTGCCCTACCTGGGGTGGGGGGCTCCGGAGATTCAGGTCCTGCTGGGTTGGGGTCTAGGCTTGGCCAAGTCACAGTCACCTCAGACCCAGGAAGTGGCTTTCCAGCTGGCCCAGAATTGGATCCGGACTAACTTTGACGTCTACTCGCAGAAGTCAACCATGTATGAGAAGGTGAGCTGACACGGGGTCTCCCCGCCCCGTCCCCAGGCCCTCCCCAGGGGAGGTGGGGAAGCAGCAGGCTTTGCAGGGCCAGGGCCGTGGCGGCACCCAGTGGCCATGTGGGGTACTGCAGGGGCAGGCGCTGTGGGCAGAGCTGCTGCTCCCCAGAGGCCTCCGTGGTTTGCTGGCCTGGGGCTGGAGTGGTGGCCTGGGGACAGTGTGTGAGCGCCAGTGATGCTCTTCTCCGCAGTATGACGTCAGCAGGGGACAGGCAGGAGGCGGAGGGGAGTATGAAGTCCAGGTGAGCAGGCCAGCACCTTATAGGGGACTCCTGGCTGTCACCCCAAACAGCTTGAACCCTCAGGCCTCACTGTGGCCACCTGCACAGAGACTGACCAGTGCTCCTTGGCACCCCAAGAGGAAATGAGATCATATCCCCAAAACAGGGCTTGGGACTCCCCCCAACTCTGGCCAACTGGCCTTGCCTCTCTCCAGGAGGGATTTGGCTGGACCAATGGAGTAGCCTTGATGCTCATGGACCGCTATGGTGACCGGCTAACCTCAGGGACCCAGCTGGCTCTCCTGATGCCCCATTGCCTAGCAGCCACCTTTCTGTTCCACCTCCTGCTGGGCTTCCTGTCACAGTGACCATGGTGGCCCCAAGGACTGACCAGGAGTGTGGCTTCACCCCACTCATCTGGCATGCCACTGGGCTCCAGGTCCCGCCTCAGGAGCCATCTGCACCTGGCCTAGTGTGGTGGTGTGAGCTGGTAATGCTGGGAAGCTGGGCTGCTGGGTAGCTTAGGAGACACTGCCTCAAATAAAACACAAAAATAGAAGGCCCTGGGCTCAGTCCCAGGCACTAGAAAAAACTGCACCTTCCCTCCTTCTGCTTATCTCCAACCTTGTCCTTGTCTGACGCGTGTCTATGGCAAGGCAGTGGCCTGGAGGCCCAGGGCTGGGACCTGCGTCCCTCCCAGCATCTCACAGGGGGAGATGTCCCTTTTCTGAGGGGAAACCTAGCCCCATCACTCCAGGAACCCAGCCCCCCATCACACAAGTACATAGCCCAAATGCTTTATTGTTCTGCTGAAATGCTTAAAAATACTGAAAAACTCCCAGCCCAGGCCCAGGCGTCAAGGGCCCAGTGCTGGGGACGAGGGCGGGGAGCTGGGCTTAGTGTTAAGGCGCGAAGGGCTGAGGCCGGACAGCGGAGGCCTGGTCCCCCACTCTCCTTTTCCGTCACCCTTTGGAGGCCGAGGGAGGCGGCCGGAACGCAGGGCCCTCCATCTGCAGCTCCCTCTGCTCAGGCTTTGGGCTGAGTGCTGAGCAACCCTCCCTTTCCGCCAGCCCCGGAGGATGGCCCGTGGGCTTCCTCTCCCACACACAGCACTGCTCCTCTGGCCGTGGGTCCCCAGCATCCTCCCTTCTGGCTCTAAGCAAGGCACAGTGGAAGGGAGAGGTGAGACGGGGGCAGCAGGCTGTGCGTCAGGGGGGAGACAGCCAGGGAGCAGGTGTTCGTCCCCCCCCCAGGTGCCCATGGATCTGGGCTGGAGAGATGACGGCAGTACCCTCAGATGGCCCACAGGGCCCACGGCTGGAGAAGCGTGGGTGAGCTGCGAGCAGGCAGTTAGTACTACATTACCATGGCAATGGAGCAGTCGCCATGGAGACTAGGGCTGGGTCGCCAACAAGGGGACGGAGCTGGGGCCTCCAGGCTGACACTTGAGGTCTCTGGCCTCTGGGCCCAGGAACAAAAAGTATAAATGGAGGAGAAGGCGAGGCAGAGCACGCTGCCTCCACTGCTGCCCAGCGCCGGGGGTGGCTGTGCTCAGCCCCCTCGAGGGGGTGAGGCAGGAGGGGATCTTTGGCAGATTCTGGTACCATAATTTGTCCTTTATGAAGAGAAAACAGGCTGGAGAGAGCAGATGCCGGGTCAGGGCCGGGAGGCATTCTCCGACAGCTCTTCAGCCCTGCGGCCGGGCAACACTGACGAGGTCTTCACGTCCCGGGCGCCCAGGTGCCAGCCCCTGCCCTCCCCAGCTTCCCTCTTCCAAGCCCAGAGCCTCACGGGACTGAGCTCATGGCAGAGTATCACCAAGTCTTCTTGCACCGAAGCCCCAGGGGCACTTTGTCCGCCAGGCCTCTCTGAGGCCGGGGGTGAGCACGGCAACAGGTGCAGGGGTCCGAGGGCAGGCTGGGGGTCCCAGAGGCCCACGCGGTCAGTTCATGAACTGAGTGTAGCCCTCGGCCCCTGTGACGATGACATCCATCCAGATGCGCATGGCCTCTGCGGACGGGGCCACCATGTAGTACAGCCGGTCATGGGTCTTCACACAGAAGGTGAGAGCTGGGTTCGGGCTCTGGGGTGGGGGGGAGGACAGGGCTGGGGCTCACGGAGGCCCAGAACACCCCGCCTCCCCTGCTGCCTCTCCCGCCCTGCCCCTGGCAGCCCTGGAGCTTAGGGGTGGAGTCCTCAACGGCCTGAAGCCCCATCCCACTACTCCAGTGGCCCCATACGGAAATGCTCCCCCTCTTATGCCATGGCAGTGCAGGTTCTCTACACCCTTGGGACCCCAGCAAGGGCACATCAGGCTGGGGACACTGTTTCCTGCACCCCTGGGTTCCCAAGTGCATGTGAGACAGTCACAAAGGGCTGACCTAAAGGACACTCCCAGCAGAGAGGAGCCGGGCAGGGAAAGCCATGGGAAGGCTGGGCTAGGGCAGCCTGGAGGCCCGGAGGGAGGGACAGAGGGAGGGACGGAGCGAGGAGGCAGTCCCCAGCCCCGGACACCCAGGCCTCCGGTGCCAAGCCAGTCTCTGAGGCTCCTTTGCCCCTCTGCTCTCCCTGTCCCCAAGGGTGACAACCTGCTGCCTTCTCCAGAAAAGGAGGCCCCAAGTGTCCTCTAGTCCCACCCTCCCTCAGCCCTGAGGCAAGTTAGAGGGAGGGGCAGGCAGGGGTCAGGGGCTGCGGGCCTGGGAAGTGTTAATGTGCCAGCTCTGGTTACAGGCGTGTGGGGCGGGCGGGGTACCTCAGTCACCAGAGTGAAGCGGAAAAACCTCTTCTAAGAGGGAGAGAGGAAGGCACGTTGGCAGAGAGAGCCAAGCACAGCCTGGCCCCCCACTGCAGCCCGCAGGCTGGGCCCAGCCCCCCCTACACAGGGCCGTCCTTCCTGCCCCCCGCTGGCCACTGCCTCTGACCTTGGCGGCACTGCGCAGGTGGTCATAGTACACTTCCTCGATGGCCTGGAAGTAGATGACGCCCTTCAGCTTCGTCTCGTGCTTGTCTGCAGAGGGAAAGGGGCCGCGCTGAGGAGGCCTGCTGGGCTCCCAGGGCAGCAGCACGTGGGCACCGGCTTTCCGGCTGGGACCAGCCGCCCAGAGTGCCCACACAGCCTTCGAGGAGCCTGAAGATGCAGCGAACGCTGAGCCCTGCTCGCCATCAGAGAAACGCACACCAGACGCCGGGGCGGTCTCCCAGGTCAACCGTCAGGATGGCAGAACACACACCCGCTTCGGGCAGGGCCGTGAAGAAACAGGCAGTGTGACAATGCAGGGGAACACAAGGGGTCAGGCCTTGGTCCTGGCTGTCACAATCGGGAAGGTGCTTGCTCTCTGAGCCAGTGACATAGTAAGTGTGGGGCCCAGACACAGACAGCTTTGGTACAGAAGGGCCTTTAAGACACCTTGGGTGGCAAACACGGAGCGTGCTGTCCGCTGCCTCTTGCACAAGGGAAAGCGGGAAGAATGTGCGTTTGCATTTGCTGCATCTGCTCCTGTGGGGACAGTGCTAGGAACAGGCGGAATACTTCTCGCCTTAAGCTGTCTCCCATGCTGATTCCTGCACTACGTGGATGCCTTTGTGGAGCGTGGGCCTGGAGGGCGTGGCTAACACTCCACATCTGGGGTCGGGACAGGTGCGGAGAAGGCCACTGTGCCAGAGCACGGCCAGCACTCAGGCCCAGGGGCAGGAGCACAGGGGAAGGTCAGGGCCTGGGCCGTCCTCTTTGTCAAATCTGCTGGAGCACCAAGACTGACCTCCTCACCCAAGAGCCTGAGTCCCGCGGAAAAGCGGGCTGAGCCCTGAACTCAAGGGCCAGGCCGGGCAGCAGGCAGCTCCTCCTCCACCCCTGCTGTGGGAGGAGCTGTGGCAGGCAAACCCGAATCCGCTGCTCCAGTCCACAAACTTGAACCGGCTGCCTACGTGGCTTGGCAAGGGCCCTCCGCAGACTGCTGCCCACGCACCCCTCCAGCCCGTCTCGCCGCCCCCCTGCACGAACCCCAGCTCCGTGCAGCCGGGCCAAGCTCCTCGGCGGTGCCTTCACGGATCATTCTGCACAGCCTGGAATGCTCTCCTGAACGCTCCCTGGACACACTCAGAAGTGATGGGAGGCAGCTGAGCGTCCCCTACGCCATGTCTGCCACGCTGGCAGGCGCGGTAGGGTGGGAGGAAGGTGTAGACACGCGGGCGGCTCCCCGGCTGGGGCGGCTGGGACCCCGCAGCACACCTCCGTGTCTCGGGTTGTCAGGAGTAGTAAACATGAGGATGTGCGAGGCACCGTGCCCGGCACACAGTGAGGCAACTGGCGCTACATTCTTAGCCCGGGCTGGTGTCACATGGCACAGACCCAGCTCACTGTGAGCCATGCCTGTGAAGGTAAACTGCAGAGGCCTCAGAGCAGGGTCTAATCTGACCTGGTAGCATGGGGTGTCCACCAGCTGCAGGCCTCAGGGAGGTACACCGGGACCTGATCCTGCCTAGCGCCCAACTCCGGGGTGTCCTCCTGGGGACAAGGGCCCGGCTCCAGACCTGGCCACCCCTCGGGCTCCTTCCTTCCTGCGGACTGTGATAGGGTCCTGCCCACACCTCCCTAGCCACCCACCCAGCCTCCACCTTGTGCAAGCTCCTCCTGCCCTGTGCTCCACGAGGTGCTCTCTCCAGCAGCTCCAATCCCTGGATCTAAAGGCCCTGGGCCACGTGGATTCGGGCCCTTTTGCAGGATCCTTCTCTCTCGCTGCTGGTGACACCTCCTGTCTGCAAACGCCCACTTCTCTGGCTGCTTTCCTTCCCGTTTCCACTGCCGCCTGAGCTCCGTCTACTTTGGTTTCACAGACATCAAGTAAGGTCGCCCTTGCCAAGTGCCAGCCCACACGCTGGCTCTCGCCTCCCGCCCCTTCTGCCTGAGCTGGTCTCTCCTCGATTTCCCCTTGAGGGGAGGCTGTGACACAGGCGGTTCCCCCTCCCCTCTGCTCTGCTTCTAGGAGCTGTGAGGCGTTGGCAATGTACTCAGTGCCTCCGAGCCTCACATTTTTACTCCTAAAATGGGTATAAATACAACGGTTTTTCTCATGGGGTTATTACAAAAATTAAGTGAGATAATATGTATGTACAGGGTACTGAGCACAGCACTTAGCTCACACAAAGGCTGTAACTGTGATCTGCTGTTATTGTGACTGCTGTGATTATTACTCCAACAGACTCGGCTGTCACGCTGCCTCTGACTTTTGTCTTAAGCCTAAGTGTCCCAGAGACTCCTGGACCTCTCCCAGACCTGCTTCTCACTCTCCCAACAAACCCCCTGCCTTCCTAGCCCAGGTGAAAAGGTGGGGCCACATGTGCCTCTGTCTCTCCACACCCAGCGCCCCAGGGACTCCACACAGTGGTGGCACTCCAGAAGGGACCAGGTTGGAGACAGAGGCAGGGCACTCCGAGCCGGGGCATCCCCAGCACCTGCAGCCCTTTGCATTCCCAGGCTTCCAGTAAGATTACGCTGCCTGTGTCATGTGTCACCTCTGACACAGGCATTAAATTGCAACACAAGGTTCACCTCAGCCTCTTTTCCCTCTACCGCTGTGGCCCCAATATCCCAACAAGCACACTCGGAAGCAAAAGTAACAGCAACCAGAATGGAACCGCCCACTCAGTGCACACTCAGTAGAGCTGTGGTGGGAAGGACACCGTGAACGGGGCCTTGTCACACATCTGTAACCCCAGCCCTCTGCAGAGCTGTGACAGGAGGATCACAGACCCAAACCCAACCTGGGCAACACAGCAATCAGTAAGAGCCTGTCTCCAAATAAACAAGAAAAAGGGGCCAGTGATGGAGCTCAGTGCAAAGGCCCTGGGTTCAATCCCCAGTAACACAAAACAGCAAAGCACTGGTTTTGAGCCTCTGGGATTTGGGACTGATTGTTACTGTAGCGCATCTGTTAAGATGTCAACTGACCGGGTAAGCAAATGCATGAGTGAATGAATAAATGGAGGTGAACCAAACATACAGCACACTTTCAGGGAGGAGAGGACAAGACCCAGCCTGAGCCTCTGAGCCTCTGAGCCCCTACTCGGAAATCTGGCCTCCTTCCAAAGACCAGCTGCCCCAGGGATGCTGCTGGAACTCACCGACATAATAGGAAAGGGTGCGTTTGAGGCGGTCGAAGACGAACCAGCGCTTCTTCCATGATTTGATCTTGCCGCCCATCTTGACCAAGTAGCCACGGCAGACCTGGTGGGAAGCCGCAGTGAGAAACGACTGGGTGAGCAACCCCTCGGCCCCTCCCAGCGCAGCCTCCTCTGCATGTGTCATCTCCTGTGCCTGGTTTTGTGGGCTCTGCTCCCAACATCTCAGGCCAGCCTTCCAGTGCTAGGACGGAGACCCGGTACCTGAAGGCAGAAACCGGTGCCGCTTTCCCAAGGCTGGTGCCTGGCACCACGAGGGCCCCTCCCTAGCGGCCTGGGCTGTCCGGGCCTGGTACCTTGCTGCTGAGCACCACGTGCAGGCAGGTGTCCACGCCATGGCCCGAGGACTCAATGTGGGTCTTCAAGTCAAAGTCCTCCTTGCGAATCGGCAGGTAGCGGGTCAGGGGCCGTGCCTGGGGCAAAAGGCAGGGTCAGCAGGGTCTCCTTCCTTCCCGTCAAGCTCTGTCATCCCCTCGGCTTCAGTCCAGCACCCCTTCAACCTGACATCACTCCTAAGTGCTGTGCTCAGTACCCTATACACATCACCCCAACTCTGCCACTCTGGTTTCATAGTGCTTATAACAAAAGTGCGGACCCGACATACTGCCTCTTCTTAGGCTCAGCCAAAATGCTGGATGACCCTTGCCTCAGTTTCCACACCTATGGCCACTAGTCAGTCATCCTGATCTTGTTCCTGGCTCTGCCCTCTCCTGTCTGAACAGAATACAGCAAAGGCCAGAATCAAACATGCCACAGGAGAAGAGGTCCAAGGAGAAACGTGCTCTCTAACGAGACAGGTGCTCTCTAGGGCGAGGCGGTCTGCTGAGTGGCAGAGCATGTTCCTCAAAGCCCTGGACTCTGTCCTCAGCACCAAAGGGAAAAGGCAGGGAGGAAGAATGGAGAAGGGAGAAGGAAACAAATGTTTCTGACTACCCAGAGGACCCTGCTTGGATCGTAACTCTCTGGACCTCAGTTTCCTTATACATATGCACAAGAAGGACTTGAAGTTAGATAATCACTAAAGTCTACCACATGTCTGACACTAACTAGAATTCTCAGTGAACCAGACCATCTTGCTCTCCTTCTTTCCCGTAAGTACCTTAAATGACAAGGAGAGAAAACATTACCAGCTATTAAAAAACACAAAACAAGCAGCTGCTACAAGGAATCTCAAAGAGAGCTGATACAACCCCATCCACACCAGACCCCAACAATGCCTAAATCCCAGGACCAGGACAGGGGCTGGAAGAGGAAGCCCCGACAGTCACGACCGAGGCAGGAAAAGAGAACAAGGCATTTGACAAAGATTCCATCACAGAGGTAAAACTCAGAGTTCCTGATTGTGTCTTAATTCCCAAACCCAGACTAGGTGACCCGCCCCTTAGAATCTATAATGTTGCACTGTAGGAAACGAGGGAGCTCCAGTTGTCGGTCCAGTTGTTGAGATCCCAGAGAAAGGCGACCTGGGGAAGCCTGCAGGGACAGCTCATCTGAGTCCTGGAGGTCCTCCCGGGGCCCAGCCCCAATTCTCTTTCCACCTGCTTACATCTCCCGCATGAGGGCTGGTTTTGAGCAAAGAGGGGTCCCTGTCCAAGGAGATTCTATTACAGCCCCCCAGAGACTGTGGATGGAGGGGACCGAAGCGGGAGGGCCCCATGCGATGAAGGCCGGGACACCGTGCGGTGCCATGTAGAGAGGGCAGCAGGGGAGATGGGAGGGCAGGTGGGATGCAGACGCACAAATCGGAGATGAGGCCAACTGATGCTCGGCTCCTAGTCCCCCTCTGAGGGCCTCTCTGGACCCTCTCCTCTCACCCACCCCAATGCCCTTCCACACTGGTTGAACAAGCCCACCAGATCGCTGTTCCCTGGCGCTGGCAGGTCCCAGGTAGAGTATGCCTGTGCGAAGCCAATCTCTGCTGGAGAACAGCTTGACAGCCCAGCCAAGGGGCCCAGGGCGCACCCCACTCCTCCACAGCCCTCACCATCAAGCCTGCCACCTCCTGCCCCACCTCCCACTCACCTGGGAAAACTGCTTCTCCCGCATCTTGACCTCCTTCTCTACCAGCTGCTGCCTCCGGGCACCCTCGCTCTGCAGCCTCCGCTCCACTTGCTCCCGCCGCCGCCGCTCCTCCTCCAGGGCCTGCCGCCGCAGCTCCATCTCGCGCTCCTGTCCCCAAAGCCAGGGGTCACCGTCAGCATCCCCCGCTGACCCTCCTCAGGACGGACACCTACCACAAGACGATGGCCTAGCAGAGGAAGCACTGTCCCCACAGCTACCCTCTCCAAGAGCTCTGCTGGCTTTAGACGTACACTTTACAGTATGACTTGCCTGACTTCAAACCCCGGCTATGTCAGCACTGTGGGCTGCGACCCAGACAAAAGCATTTAAATTCTCTAAGCTTCAATTATCTCATCTGAAAAATGGGATTAAATGTGCCTGTTCCTGAGATTATGGTAAAAATTAAAGGAGATCCTGTTTATAAATGCCCATTACTGATTCCAGCAGGAAAACAGCACTTAAATATACAGGGTTATTATAATTATAGCTGAATTCCTAGACTGCAAATTATTTCACTTTTTTTGACAGCTATCCTTCTCTGTTCACCAATTTAAGGCTCTTTGATACTCCACGTTAGTAATATCTATTGGAGAAAAATGAGATCAGAGACTAAGCTTGCAGTTGAAATTATTACAAAGGGTTTCAAATTGGGCAAGGTGGCACATGCCTGGAATCCCAGCACTCTGGGAGGCTGAGATAAGAGGATCACAAATTTGAACCCAAGCTTGGTTATTTAGAGACTTAGCAAGGTCCTGCAACAAAAATAACAGGGCTGAAGAAACGGCCTGATGTGAAGGCCCTGGATCCAATCCCAGCTCAGCAAAGGAAAAAAAGAAAAAACCAGGGGTGGTTTAACAATCATTAAAATAACTCATAAAGAAACTGGGTGTGGTGGCTCCCACCTGTAACCCCAACACTCGGGAGGCTGAGGCAGGAGGATCGTTGTCAGTTCGAGACCAGCTTGGGCTACAAAGTGAGCTCAAGGCCAGCCTGAACTGCAGAGAGAGACCCTGCCTCAAAAAGACACACACACACACAAAACCTCATAAATATAGAGCAAATCAGTGATACTTTTTATGCCTTACTGACAAAGACTCTATACGAGTGATAGTAATTTCTTTTTGAGGCAGGGTCTCATGGTGTAGCTCAGGCTAGCTTTGAATTGACTATATTGCCCAGGCTGCCTTGAACTTCGGGTGATCCTCCTACCTCAGCATCCTAAGTGCTGGAATTACAGGTGTGTACCACCATGCCCAGCTTTTTTTTTTTTTTTTTGGTACCGGGGATCGAACTCACAACCTTGAGCTTGCTAGACAGGTGCTTATGCCGCTGAGCTAAATCCCCAGCCCCAACCATGCTCAGCTTAATGGTGAATCTTTTATAGCTTTCAATGATGCAAAACAGCCCACCGTGGCATGCGTGCCATAGGTCTGCCACCACTCTGTACCATCTGACGTATCTCCCCAGTTCAAAGTTACAGAATCAGTCTTCTTTTCCTCCATTTGCCAAGAAATGCTTGTAAATCTGCCTTACTTTGACGGGAGTAAGGTTAACAGGCACTGTTTTCTGGCTGATCATTCCTCTAAAGGGTCGGTGTTCCCTTAAAAAAAACTCTAGCTGCTAACTGCCCTTCATGGGCTCCACTTGCATCTCAACATACGTGAAGCAGAAAAAATAACAGCCAGGAAGAGTCGCATGCATACACAGGAGGCTGCGACAAGAGGAGCCCTTGAGCCCTTGCGTTGGAGACCAGCTTGGGCAACACAGTGAGGAAAAGAGTGCCTCGCCAGCTTCTGCAGACCCTTTGCTTAACCTCCCTCCCAGGCAGTTTTCCTCAGCCGACCCACACCCAGCGCCAACCACTGGTCCCCCTTCGCCAAGCCCCAGCAGCTTGCCCAGGCTCAGGGGTCAGGACTTCCTGCAGCCACGTCCCAGCCAGCACCTCTGCTCTGGCTTAGAAATCTCTGCTCCTCTTCCATCCCACACTTCAGCCCCTACTTCCTACCTATCCCCAGGAGGAACCACCTGCTAGGCAGGGGTAGAGGACCAAAGTTCCCATGGTTCCCAAAGTGCCCCAAGAGGGGCCAGGCGTGGTGGCACATGTAATCCTGGCACTTGGACGGCCAAGACAGGAGTATCACACCAAGTTTGAGGCCAGCCTGAACTACAAAGTGAGACCCTGACTCAAAATACCAAAAATAAATATATAAATAACAAAAAACCAAAGTGCCCACAGAGGGATGCAGACAGACCAGAAGCTGCCAGAAAGGAAACTCATGGCTGGACCTCGGTTCCTGAGCTGCTTTCCGTTCCAGAGAGCTGAGAAACTGCAGCCTGGCTCAGCCTCCCATGGCCTATTTAAGGAACACAGACCTTTCTTTTTGCTTTTTGTCCCCTCGGTTGTTGGAGACAGGGTCTCACTGTGTAGTTCAGACCAGTTCTATACCATCTGACATACCTTCCCAGTCCAAAGATAACAGAAGCCAGGCCAGGGATACAGTGGCACATTGCCTGCCTGGCAAGTGCAAGGTCCCGAGTTTGATTCCCAGTACAAAAAAAAAAATGTTAAAAGAATCTTCTTTCCCTCCGTTTGTTAAGAAATGCTTGTAAATGGCCTTGAACTCACTATTGTAGTCCAGGCTTCCCAGCTGCTGGGGTACAGGCCTGGCAACACAGACTTTTAACACACTTTCTTAGCCAGGCACAGCAGTGCACACCTGTATCCCCAGCACTCATGAGGGTGAAGCAGGATCACTTTGAGTTCAACACCAGCCTGGGCTACACAATGAGTTCCAGACCAGCCTAAACTAATAGTGACCCTATCTCAAAAAAACAAAAAAATCAAGACACTTTCTGTTGGGCACAGTGGCACGTGCCTGTAATCCCAGGACTTTGGGAAGCTGAGGAAGAAGGATCACAAACATGAGTCCCACCTAGATGACAATATCTAGATGAAACCACTTAGATGAAACAATATCTCAAACTAAAAAGTAAAACAGGCTGAGGTTGTAGATCAGTGTGAAGAGCTTGGTTTCAATCTCTAGTACTGCAAAATAACAATAAAAATAAAATGCTTTCTACTCCAGTGCACAGTCATGCCAATGCAATGTGGATGGAAGGCGCTGAGGTGGTGCCAGGCCCTAGGTGAGTGAAGGCCACCCTGGCTCCCACACCCTCTGCCTCTGCCTCCGCCAGGTCAGCCTCACCCTGGACTCCATGAGCCGGCTCTTCTCCGCATGAGCTTCCCTCAGCATCTTCTCCATCTCCTCGATCTTGCCCATGTCCAGACCACTGGCGCTGCAGAGGGACGGGAAGAGAGGCTGTGTCAGGAGCTGGGGGTGCCCGCTAGAGGCCACGGACGGGCCGGGTGGGGAGGCACCTGGACATGTTGTCAGGGGAGCAGGCCGAGTTGCCCCCGGTGGAGATGCTGGTCTCCATGCTGTCCGAGCTCTCCAGGCTCAGCGTGTCGTAGGCGTGCTCGCTCTCCTCCCCTCGATCCCGGCCAGCCGGCAGGTGGTGCAGGATGGAATGGTGCACCAGGGCGGGGAAGGGCGCCGCTCCGTGCAGGGCATCCCACTGACACTGTGCTTCAGCCGCCGCTTTCTGCTTCAGCTCAGCCAGCCGCCGCCTCTGCTCCTCAATCACCTGCTGCCCTGCAGGAGGGACAGGTCAGAGTCACAGGGGGCTCCCAGCTGTCCAGGGACAGGGACACTTGCAGCATCACAGAGAGAGGATGCCAGCAGAGACAGGTTAACACGCATGGCTGCAGAGGCTGGCAGCCCCACCAAGGCTCCGGTCGCCTGCCCAGCTGGCCAGGGCGCATGGTCTGCTGCAGTGTTTTTTCTGCATCCGTAGGCCTCCAGGGCACCTGGCTCCAGCTCACAGTGGAAGCCTGGGCAAATGAGCGGGAGACATGCACCCACCCAGCTGCTGGGATGGGGAGACAGCAGGAGCCCCATGAGCCCAGGGTGCCAACGCAGACACCCCCACAATGCAGAAGCGAGAGCAACAGGAGCAGAAAAGAAGGCACAGAGACAGGGAGCACAGCCAGGGCAGCCAGGGAGGTGAGCAGCAGGGGCGGGGCCAGCAGGAACCCCAGCCCAGCTCAGCCCGAGAACCTACAGGGGACCTGGGCAGGACACGCCATGCTGATGCCTGGCCAAAGCAATGCCCTCGGTGACCAACGCTCTACCTGCTGGGTCGTCAGTTGTGAGGGGCTCGGCAGGAAGCAACTCGACTGGCGTGGGGAGCCCCAGGCAGAGGGTAAGGGAGAGAGACACGAGGGGATAAGAGAAAGAGGCGTAGACGTGGGCTTTCAAAACAACTAAACACACCCAAGCAGCAAAGACTGCTGGGTCCCCAGAGCCAGCGTCTCCAAGAACTATTTCTGGAAGTCTTAAACCCATCCCCCTGCCTCCAGGTAGGGAAACATCCAGCCCTGCTCAGGTCAACAAACACTTCCAACACTGGCTGGCCTCTCTAGGAAAGAAGATGTCATAGCCCCCTAGCCCCTGAGGCCCCTGTTCCAAATCTTGTGATAAATATCCAGGAAGCTCTGCTTTCAGTATCCAACCGAATACCTGCTCCTCTCACCCAGATCCCAATTAAAAGAAAAGTGTTCTGTGAAAGCTGTGGAGGTGCCCCAGGGAACGGGGGTGCTGGCACTGCAGCAGCTCACCCTTCTGTTGCAGGGCCAGCTGGCGCTTGGTCTCAATGTCCTGCAGCGTGGCTGCCAGGTTGCGAGGAAGGCTGCCTGTGCCATTCTGGGCAAGCAGGGCACTCTGCAGAAAGAGGACAGAGCCCTTGTACCGCTGCTCAGCCTACCCCAGAGCCCAGGAGCCCAGGAGCCCAGGAGCCCAGGAGCCCAGGAGCCCAGCACAGCAGCCTCCATTCCCCCACCACTCTCTGCCCTCAGACCTTTGGGGAGGGACTGCGGCCCAGGGTAGCCACACTGAGCTGGGAGGAGGAGGAGGAAGAGCCAGACGAGGAGGGAAGGGGGCCACTGCGGGTCCGGGGCAGCGGGCTTGCAGCTTCACCATCCACCTTGGAGTGATAAACCTGCAAGGAACACAGCCTGGTGACCTTCACCCCCCTACTAAAAGCCACCCCTGTGTTCCCTACTCTAGCGCAAGGCCTCTGAGGCCTTCTGGCTCCAGGTGACAAGTGTGTTGCACCTCCTGGCTACCCAATGGGCGCAGGCTACTGCCAGCTGCTGATTTCCCCTTCCAGGCCTTTTCCGCATGGCTCAATCCTGGCCCAACCCTGGATCTGCAAACCAACCCACACCAGTAGTTAAGCATTATGCAGGAGAACAAATAGGGACCAGGTTCCTGTGGGTCCCAGCTCTGCCACCAACAGGCTGTATAACCTTGGACCATGCACCTCCCCACTCTAGGCCTCAGCTTCCTTGTATGCAAACGGAAAGGGCACATCTAGATTAAACCGCTACCAAGGTCCCTTGCCGTGTTCACACACAATAAGTGTGGCCTTTGGAGTCAAGAGCCCTGACTCTCCACAGAAGCTCGGCTACTTCCTTCTCATAGTTATGTGGCCCTGGCCAGACTTCTTATCTGCTCAGCAGAGTCTGATCTGTAAAATGAAAGTTAACATCTACCTCAAAGGCCTGTGGTTGATGACTAAGTGAATCCAAACATGACAACGTCTCCAGACAGCTGGGCACACAGCAGAGGCACCACAAGTTATGTGAATCAAACTCCCCCCAAGGCAACATGGACTTGTAGCTGAGGTCACAGCCTTAGAGCTGCAGCCTCTCCACTCAGAGAATGGCTCAGGCACCACAGCACGTCCCTGGAGCAAAGCGTGAGGCCACTCGAGCACCTTCCCCCACCACGGCCAGTAGCTGGGCCCATGCCCGCCACAACTGCTCTCTGGAGATGGGTACATCCCCAGGGTTGCCGCTTCAGAGTTTTTGTCCTCTTCTTTTGTCTCCACATATTACCCTTGGGAAGACCAAGAGAACAAAATACTGGTGTTTCGCCTAGGACATAATAATTCCAGGGGTGACAGACTCAAGAGTGTGTCCTTTCCTAGGCTAGGTGAGAAGCTCTGGGGAGAACCGCTTCCACCATCACCTTGAGGCACAGGAGACCAGCTTCCAGCTGCCCACAGAGCCAGACGACGGCCCACCGAGAGCTCCTCAGTGCCCTCTCCAGACCCAGGGTTTCCTCCTTGCCGAGCTGAGTAGCTTACAGAGTGTCCAGTAGGACCGAGGGCTCGGCAGGAGGTACTGAGTGGACAGAAGCAAGACCTGGAGAGGACTGGCAGGGCGGGGTTACCTGCAGCTGACGGGAAGCTTTGGCAGGCAGAGGTGGGGGGGAAGAACGAGGGGAGGCTGCAGCAGGGACAGTCCCCAGCCCGGCCATCAGCTCCTGGTACCACTGCTCTAAGTCTACAGCAGGGAGCAGCAGCTTCTCCATCTGGAGGGGCAGGGAGAGGGCAAGGACGGAGCAGAAGGGCCAGGATGGAAGGGAGGAGAGGAGGAAGACGGGGGCGGGGGGTCAAGGCAGGGGGAAGGAAGGCCCGGTCAGGGAATCGGGCAGGAAGGGAAGGGGACGAGGAGACGGAAAGGAGGGAGGGAGGGAGGGAGGGAGGAGAGCAACAGAGAGAAGGAAGAGAAACACAGTGAGATGACAGTCGTCCCAAACGTGACCAAGGCAAAGAGCAACAGTCAGGGTGCAACTCCCAGAGCACAGGCACGCACTATGCCAGCCAGCAGAGCCCACAGCGCCCAGCGTGTCCCTCAGGCTGGCCTGGAGCCCAGGGGCCTGTGAGCCAGGGCCAGACACACACAGACAGCCACACCAGCCATGGGGTGGGGGTGGCAAGGACACACAGACCACCAACCTTGGGCGAAGGCGTGATGGAAGCGAAGGAGGAGGAGGAGGGCGGCACAGGAGGAAGGCAGGTGGTGGGAACCAGGTCCCGGGAGGCAGAGGCCCAGGGAGGCCGGCCTGGCGCGGGGGCTGGGGGCATGGGTGAGGTGCCCCACATCACCTTTAGCTGCTCAAGCGTCACGTACTTGGGGGAAGGCCGGGCGCAGGAGGGAATACAAGAGGTTAATGGGACTGGAACCCAAGACACGGCCCTGCCCACAAGGGAGGGAACGAACAGGAAGCAGAGTGGAGGCCAGCCTGGACAGCAGAGTCCTCTCCAACGACGCCTTTCTCCCAGAGCGGAGGCCCTGCCCTTCCCCCGGAGCCATGGTGAGCTGAGGACAGCTTCCCAGGCCTCAGGACGAAAGGGAAGTACTCTGTGCCCCCTGCCAGCTGCCCTTCTCTCTCACACTGAAGACTGACCCTGCTGTTGCCCCATCCCCACCCGGGCCCCAGGGGCAAGGGAGGCCACCCATGAGCAGGCGCTGGGCACAGGCAGGCACACTCAGTGGCTCACTGTCAGGCAAGGGCTGGGTGAGCATGCTGGGGGAGGTGGCAGAAGCATAGGGGTCCAAGCGAGAGCACGCTGGAGAACCTCTGCCAGGCTCACATACTCCTAGGGACCCCGGCGGGGGGCAAAGAGATTAATGAGGTTCAGCCTGGCACCCGACACCCCACACTCCACGCCAGGCACAAGTGTGCACACAATCCCGAGCAGGGGCAGGTGCTCGGCTGCCCTCTTGGCCACGGTTGGCTGTGGGAACAGAGGGCACTGAAAAGGGTGGCAGAACTGACCGCTCCTTCTGAGACCACTTTGGCATTTTATTTCTGCCCCAAGCAGATTGGAAAGACCCATCCTGCCCTGGCCCTGGGCTGGAGACAGGTAAAGAGGCCTAGGAAGGCCTTCTAAGGGCCCACTGAGGCACAGAACCGAACTGCTAGCGAGTCCATCTCTCTCTAGCGCTGGGTATTCCCAGGCACACTCGTGCAGCATGGATCACCAGCACACCATTTCCCAGGGGGCCTCCCACCCTGCTTACCAGCACTGAAGCTGGACACAGGTGGGGAGAGACAGGGACACCACCAGGGCTGAGTAAGATAAGCACTCTGCTAAGAGGCTTAGCAGAGTTTGCTAAAAACCCTGGCAAGAAAATGGGCCCACTGGCTCAGGTAAGCACTGGGAAAGGGCTGGCACACTGAATTATGGGTGGAAAAACAGGGCCTGTGAACCCATCACACAGCTTTACAACCTGAGCTTACCCAGGTGCTGGCCATGGCAGCTGACGATGGTGCTGAACCACAGCAGTGAACCCCAAGCCTGCCTTATCGGGCCAGCCTGGCCTCTGAGTCACGGGAACTGAAAATGAGCTGGGAGCTCCAGCACGTTGTGAATGACATGCACAAACTGGTGCCTGACATGCAGAATACATGCAAACCAACGCTCGGATTTGGCACGGACGGCTGAGACACCCTACGTAAGGAGAGCAAAATGGCACGCTCACACCAACACCGCCCAACAGTTATCGCCACACACCCTTCAGCTGGGCCTCGGGAGCTGGGTTTGAAGCTCAGCGGGCAGGCAGATAGGTAGCCGGCAAAGCAGGGCACACAGTTAGCGGGGATTACCTCTTGTACTTTGGGGCAGAGCAGAACAGAAGCAGGTGGGGTTAAGGAGCCAGAGAAGCCCCCAGCCTGAGAGAACCCTGAGAATGGGCCCAGAGCCTTGGTTCCCAGCCCCATCTCTGAGGACTCGGAGGTGAGGAGCTGAGCCTACAGAGGGGGTACACAGTGAGGGGACTCACCTCTCACACTCAGCCTGCCACCTGCCCCAGGCCTGATCACTTGCACAGTGACACAAGGAGGCAGGAAAGAGGTCAGAAAAACAAGTACGTCCTAACTGGGCCTGACACACCAGATGCACAGACCTGGGAAAGAATCACTTGGGGCTCAGTGACCACTTCTAAGCCAAGAGCCTGGCTCCAGATGGAAACTCAGAAAGCCGCAGGACAGGGTCCCTAAGATCCCTGAGCTGCCCGCCTCAAGGTCAATCCACCCAGCCCTGACTCTGAGCTCTCTGCCTACCCTTCCCAGGGCCCTTGAGCCCCTTGCATACACCCAGCCACCCTAAACAGTGAGCTCCTAAGAGTCCAAAAAGCAACTGAGGAGCACCTGGTGGCCAGGGACGTTTAAATCTCAGATCGCAGGGCCACTCCTCCTTGCATCTCTCAGGTTCAGGATGGTGCCTCCACCCTCAACCTCGGTCAACTGGGTGAAGGTGGCACTGGTTGCCACCATGGGCCTGAAGCAGAGGGTGACCCAAACGTTACCTCTTTGAGGGTCGAGGTGGTCTTCGGGAACGGCCTGCCCCCTGTGAGAGCGTGGTATCTCCTTTCCAGCATGGCCAGCTTCTCCTTCTCCTGGAAGCCCATCATGGTAGAGTCAGAGAGAAGTGGCACAAGGGTCCCTGTGACGTGTCCTCGCACTGGCAAATCTCCACCCCCAGCCCTTCCCCGTCCCTGCCTGACCCGGGCGGGTACCTTCTGCAGCAGCTGCAGGGAAGCATTCTTCTCCCTAGCCAGACGCTCGGACTCCTGCACGGCCTGGGCCCGGATCTGTCCAGCCTGACTGTCCAGGATGGCCAGGCGCTCCTAAGGAGATGGGGAGGGCAGACTCAGTCAGGCCTGAGCCCCAGTGTCCTTGGGCTCCAGGGAAGGGACTCGACCAGCTCTTCTTGGCTTCAACTCAGAAGGCCCTGGTCAGCTCCTTCCCTCGCCACTCCCTCCCTCCCTGAACCAGTGACCCCTGGGCCACCAGGCAAACTAGCCAGAACCCAAACCCTCAAATCTCACTGTCTGCTCTTCACGGCAAATGGGTTCCAAAGCCTGAAGACACTGAACAAGCTCTCTACCTGCCCTGTCCCCCACTACTGCATCCAGGTCCCCTGCTTTCCAGCTGGGCTTCTCACCACCCTGTTGCTGCTACTCTCCCAGCTTTCCAGTCCATTCCACATTGCCACAACATAGCTCCTTCAAATGGCTGTTGAGCTGTGTTTGCTTATCTGCACTGTTTAACCCTTCTAAACATAACACACACTACTTAAGTAACTGTTTTTGAGATACGGTCTTCCTATGTTGATTATGATGGACTTGAACTCCTAAGTTCAAGCAATCCTTTTGCTCCAGCCTCCAGAGAAGCCAGGGCTGTAGGTGTACCCAAGCACCCAAGCAACTGGCTCTTGCATTGCCTCTTCTTGTCCGTGTGTACCTGGCCTGTGTGTCTGTGCTGAGATTAATCCCAGGCCTTCATAGTGAGTTAAATCCCTAGTCTTTTTATTCATTTCTGGTTTTGTTTTATTTATTTATTTATTTATTTTTTAATAGGTACCGGGGATCGAACTCATGACCGCCTGCTTGCAAGGCAGGTGCTTATGCCGCTGAGCTAAATCTCCAGCCCCGTTTGTTTTATTTTTGAGACAGGATCTCCCTATGTGGCCCAGGTTGGCTTCAAATTCTTGGTGATTCTCTTGCCTCCGCCTCCTGAGTGCTGGGATCACAGGAAAGGATGGCTCCTCCTTACACACAGGATAAAGCACAAACTCCCTACCCAGCACGCTCGGCCCTGTCTGCACCCTGGCTCAGCCTTGCGGTAACTCAGCTGTGCAGCTGGGTACTTTCAATCTCCCTTCTGTCTCTCCCTCAACCCGGGGTGCCATCACAGAGCTCTACACCATCCAAGCCCAGACCGAATGCCACCTCCTTCCCAAAGCCACCTTTGGTCATCGCTCAATTTCTCTGTTCCTTCTCTGTGCTCACGGTATTCTGTATCACCTTGTCCCTTGTCCTGTTGTTATCTGTCAATGTATCTGTCTACCACCACCATCACCTCACCCGGAATATGAAACCTCAGGGCAGGACCAACAGGATTTAGCACATTGCCTGGCTCAACAATCATACGCTAAAAGCAAACAGAAAGATACTAAGTGAAGAAGGATAAGAACTGGGGAAAATGGCAGGGTAAACCCCAGGAAGGCTCCAGAAAGAGGTGGTCTACACCACCCCTCTAAGGAACAACCCCGGGAGAAGAATGCAGGAAGAAAGAAGCCGTGCTAAGCCTAGAGTCAGACCAAGGAAAGTGACCCTCACACAGCAAGACCACCACTTCCACAGAGCCCAGCAGGAGCCAGGAACGCTGCCTGATGTTTTGCAAGTGGCCTAAGTGCCCATTTTACGGGTGAGAATACCGAACTTAGCTCCTGTATTTACACCTACGTTTAGGTCTTGCTTCTCAGCTAGCAAGTGGCAGAGCTAGCACTAGAACCTAGGGCTAGGTTGGATTCCAGGGCTAGTACTCCCACTTCGAGCCACTTTGAACTACAATGGACAGGGGATCACAGGGCTCTAGGGCAGGCAGAGCCTGGGATGCAGGGTGAGCCTGGGCATCGGGAAGAGCATGGGAGAGAATGCGACTTCTCCTTCCCAGGTCTGAGCTGAGCTTGCTCCTAGAGGCGAGAGGAGGCGGGGAGAGAAAAGAAGCGGAATCTACTACTGACCCCGCCCTAACTTTCTGGAGCTTATGGTCTCCAGGGCCGCAGAGATGAGCATAGGTCACCTCACGGCTCCCTAGTGCATGTGCCCCCAGGCCTGGGTTCCAACTCTCACTCTAAGCTCAGCCTGGGAAGCTTCGAGTAAACGTGTTGCCTCTCTGAACCCTAGGTTTTCTCTCTTAAGTTGGGGATAAGAGCGCCTACTTTGTGAAACCCCCCAAAGGACATACGATGACCCAAGGAAGGACCTTCCTGGTAGAGAGCCTAGCACACACTCATGTGCTCAGGAATCTGAAAAATGTGTGCATCTGTAAGGCACAGTAGCTCAGAGAGACAAGCAAGGCTTGGACTTGTGGGTCCAGCAGCTCCTCACCACCAAACCTAGGCTAGCTAGCAAGGCCCTCAGTTCACCCCTTTGGAACAGAGCTCCCCCAATCTCACTGCCCATCCATTGCGCACACATAGATGCAGGAGCTCAAGCCTCAGCCACGGTATGCGAGCCTCCTGGGCATTCTGATATGCACACACCCCTGCCCCGTCACCTGGCCATGCCTGGGCTGGCTGAGATCAGAAACAGTCACAGCATGGCACACCAAACCCTGCCAGGACACCGTACTCAGTTCTCCTGTTTATAGCTCAGCCATGCCAGGGCTGAACCACGGCTAGGAACCCAGGTGGAGAGCCTTCCAAACCCCTAGCCAGCTCCAATGTTCAGACCCCAGGTCCCTGTATGAATCCCAGCACGTCCATCAGACAGCTCTGTGAAGACAGGAGCACCACTGGGGGTGTGGCTCAGTGGTAGAACACGTGCTTAGCAAGTAGGAAGCCCTGGATTCAATCCCCCCAGCACACATGGGCAGAAGCAAGCCAGGTCCTCCTCCATTGTTCATTTCCAGCCCAGCTCTGAAAGCGAGCCAACTCTACTTTCCCCTGGAAAACTGAGAGGACTCAGGTGTACTAATAGTAACTATTCTTTAGGGTTAGCGTTAGGGCTAGGACCAAAGTACCACCCTAAATCAGGAGTCCAAAGAATGGCATCTACCTGGGTTTCAGCACTGGCATGGTTGAGCTGTAAGCAAGAGGACTGGGTATAGTGTCCAGGCAGTACCCTTTGCTGAATGCTTTTGGTCATCCTGCATTCCATCCTGCCTTACATGCTAATTCCCTCACTTTTGATTTTACAGACTAGGAAACAGAGGCACAAAAACATGAAACAGTCTTAGCACTAAGGAGGCTGACACAGGAAGATCTCAGTGAGTTGGAGGCCAGCCTGGGTTACAAAGTAAGTTCAAGGCTTGCCTAAACTGCATGAGACTCAATCTCAAAAAAACAAACAGGGGCTGGGGACACAGCTCAGGAGCACAGCACCTGCCTGGCAAGCACAAGGCCGTGGGTTCCATCTCCAAAAAAAAAAAAAAAAGGTGACGTTAACTTTCACGAAGTTGGAGCTGGGCATTTAGCTCAGTGGCGAAAGCACCTGCTTGGCAAACATAAGGTCGTGAGTTCAATTCCCGGTACCAAAAATTTAAAAAAAAAAAAAAAAAAAAAAAAAAAAAAAAAAAAAAACCAACTTTCACGTCAGCTCTGCTCGGGGCCTAGGGGCAGCAGGGGTTGCCCACCTTCCTCTTGGCCACGCTGCGCAGCAGCTCTGCCTTGCTCCGCAGCAACCCCTGGCCTGCTAACTCGCGCTCCTCCTCTGCGCGGCTCTCCCGCTCCAGCTGCTGGAACTCCAGGTCTTCAAAGAGCTTAGTCTCGGTCTCCAGGGCCTCGGCTTCCTTCAACGACAGTAACATCGGGTGATGTTCACCCTGCCACCCTGGGCCCGGAAGGCCAGGCCATAGACTGGAGTGGCGGGGGCTCCACCCGGGGAATCTGAGCAGGGAACCCGTCCCCTCCCGACTCCCTCTGCTCTGCTCCACACAGCCTGGAGCACTGGATCCCCCCAACCTCGCCTGTCCCCTCCGATCCTCAGCACCGACCCTGTGTCCGGCAGGCACTGCAGGGGCCGGGCAGTCCCGTCCCACCGCTCTCCTCTCCTCGGTCTGGGTGGGTGGCCCACGGGGGCCGGGGCAGGGGCTGGAACTGACCCTTCTCAGCTGCTCCTGTAACTGTTCCCGCACTGACTCGGGGCAGTTATCGAGCTGCGTCTGGAGCTCGGCGTACAGCGCCTGGCGGGCCTCCAGGTGCCTCCGTCCCGCGGCCAGCTCCGCCCTCTCCTGGACGGCGGGAGGGGAGGGAGGCGGGGCACAGGGAGAGAGAACACACACTCCTCAACTCCGGCCCAGCGGCGGCCAGGCGCGGCTGCGCGGGGCGAGGGACTGCCAGGCGCGAGAGGAGAGCAGAGCAGAGCAGAGAGCGGAGGAGGAAAGGGCCGGCAGGGGAGAGGCCAGGCGCAGAGGTGTGAGCAGGCGCAGGGCCTGTGACACAGGCAGGCGTGGGGAGCAGGGGGGAAATTGTGGTCTCTTGTGTCCCTAGAACTAGCAGTGTTTGAGAAGGTCCTAATTTCCTCTTCAACTCACAGAGGCAGGCCAAAGCTGGTGCCTCACAGTCTACCACTGTCCAGAGACCAAAATTTAACCCAGGGGAGACAGGACATAAAGGAAGGTGTTAAGGACCACAGGTGGGGTGTGAATGTTAGAGCTACAGCCGTGCAGCAGCCGAGGGGGACCCCAGCCCGACCCCCAGCCTCCTGCCCTCCTGCCCAGGTTGGGGGTGGGGTGCTGGCACTGCAGGCTGAACTTGAGTAGGGATGAGGGTTGCAATTAGTTGGCCATTGCCATGGTAACAGGAGCCCCAGGAGTGGGTACAGAGAGGAGGTGGGTGGCTCTGTCTGGGGCAAGATGACACCTCTGAGGGTGGGAAAGGGGAGGAGGGGTGGAGCTGATGCGTCACCCCTCCCAAGGACAGGCAGAGGAGAAACCCTGATTACTGATTCCGAAGCCAGAGTGGGGCCTGGGCTGGAGCCTGGGCCAGGGATGATCATCCACTGCCACCTCCACCTCTACAACCTCCAACCGGGCCCAGAGGAAAGATAAGAAAGCCCGAGCCTCCACGCATCCCCAGGTCATTCCCATTCCCAGGTCGGTGCAAAGCCAGGAGGTTCCTCCTGCAATGCTGCACTTTAGCCCCAGGATCAAGGCCCTCTGCTGTCCTGCCCTACTCACCCAGCCTGGCCCTCCACCCACCTACCCATCCCCAGAGGGGAGGCCCTGATCAAGGCAGTGGCTGGGGTCCCAGCACTCCCCGCCCTTGTCAAGGGGCCTCCAGGATGAACTAGAGGGACGGGAAGCCACCATTCTCCCCTCTGCTTGGAGCAGCTGAGTCAAGAAAGCTAGGATGGTAGTCACCGAGTTGGCAGACAAGACCTCCAAGGCTGTGCCAGAAACTGGACCAGAAAGGAGGCAGGGGGAGGGGCCAATGTAACCAGCCTGCCCCTGCCCTGCAGGAAGCTGCCAACTAGGCTGTAGGCAAAGCCCAGGCCTTTCCAGGGGAGGAGCTGTTCAGGCTGAGCAGCTCTTCTGCTAAGCACGTCCCTCATCCTATCCCCCTTCCAGTCAGTGCCTCATTAAACAAAACTTAGCTGTGCCCTCTGGCCAGTTCCTGTCTCATCAAAACCACAGAGTCCCACACCAAGAAAAGAAGGCGGCATCGTTAGAGGGAAAGGCCCAGGGCACAAAGGCACTGCAAAGTTAGTGCAAAAGCAGGCATGGCTCAGCCCTGCCTGGGTGGCCGGCAGTTAGGGCATGCGGAGCGCCCAGGACAGTGATTAGAGAGGGCGTTAGTGCAGGCCTGGCTGACAAGCATGGAGTTAATTTGGCACAGAATTTGGGAGTGTGGTTTTGGGGGCCAGAGCCAAAAAACAACAACAAAAAAAAAAAAACAACTAAAGGGTCAAAGAAATTTTAAGATCATCAAAATCGAGGGCAAGATGAAGATGGTCTCAAAAAATCCAATGGAAAAATTAAATTCTTGGAAAATACTGTCAAATCCAGAATAGACGACCCCTCTCACTTCAGAGCTTTTGGCACGCTGTTGGGCATCTTGGGCATGGCTGACACGGCCCTTTGGGATGGAGCAGCCCCTGCAGGCTGGCGCGAAATCTGAAAGTTGCAGGGGCAGGAGCTGGGACCATTTGGGATGGGAGGCTGGAGATCCTGAAGACCAGGGAAGCAGAGGCCTGCAGGCCATCTCCCCAAGACCACATCCTAAGCATCTAGGCATGCTTGAGGGAGATGTTCTTCAGATGATGGGACCCAAACCTGCGTCACCCCAGACACTGAGCCCTCAGGCAGTGTGCACTGCCCAAGAAGGACCGGGAAGGGCCAGAATGGCAGGCACTCAGGCATCCAGAGGTAGCACAGAGACCCAGAGAAGACCCCAAACACCAGCCCAGCTTCTAGCAGCACCCTAAAGCTCGTACCTTCCACAGAGGATAAGCCCCCTGTCCCTGGAGGGCCACAGAGACTACCTGGTACACAGGACAGATGACGGGGTGAGGGGTCCGGAGCCCCAGGGAAGGCATTTCTCCTCTCCTGGGCCAGTGGTACCCAGCGCTGGGCTGGCCCAGGTGTGGGTTACCTTGTCCCTCTCTTTCTGGATGCCTGTCTCCAAGGCCATGAGCTTCTCCTGCAGCTGTTCCACGGCCTTCTGCTCCTTCTGCAGCAGTGCCCGCTCAGCCTCTCTCTCCCCCTGCAGCAGCGCCCGCTCCATTTCAGCCTGGGTGCAGACACCAAGGTCGGCATCAAGACAGTGAACTCAGGTCCCCATCCGGGGCTCGCGCCTTGAAGCCCACTCACTTCTCTGGCTGCCTCTTGAAGCTGCTGCTCCAGCTCCTTTACATGGACCTTGAGCTGCTCCACGTGGCCCAGCACCTGAGCCCGCTCCTCTTCCAGGGCTAGGATCTCTCCCTGGAGCTTGGTGCTAGGCGCATCTTCATGCTGGAGGGGACAGGTGCCATCAGTGGACGATACCAAGAGGCTCCCAAGATCAGACTATAAGATCAAACTGCCCTTTCCGCAAGGCACTTGGAAGGGGTAGCTGAACTGCGATAGGGGCTGATCCCTTCCTTGCCAGGGAAGCAGGAAGGAATCAGCCACAGAAAATAAACATTCACCACAGTTCGAGGCCCAACGAAAGGCAGGTCATAAAGCCTATTTACAGCCCGGGAAAGTCCTTGCCACCTTCCTTTTCTCCTTTGCCTCCTTTCTACGACCTCGAGTTTCTGGTGCCTTCCCAAGCTTGATCCAGCCATTACTTCCCCCTCACAGTGCCCTGGCATTCATACCAGTCTCAGTGCCCGGCACTACACCCGGCCAGCCCCAGCCCACCCACCTCCTGCTGGGTGCTCTCCGTGCTACTGCATTCCTCCTTGAGATTTTCCTCATCTGAGCGCTCCACGCTCTCCCACAGGCGCTGGGTGGCACCTCCAAGCTCCTCGCCACCTCGCCCAGAGGACACAATGGGCCCTGCAAGGCCTCTCGAGGGCCTCCTGCCCGCCAGTGCCAATGCAGCGGTGGCTTCCCCAATGCTGGGCAGTTCCCCAGCCTCAGGGCCCCCATCAGCCCTGCTGTACTCAGCACACAGGTTCAAGATGGTCTCCAGACGCTGGCGCTCCTGGGAGGGGGGAGAGAGCAAGGCATGAGTGAGAGAAGGCCCAGTCCTGGGGGGCCAGAGCCAGGCCACCTCCACTTGGGAGAGCTAGGTCACTAGGGGCTGGGGCTCTGAATCAAGTCAGGAGGAGCCCCCCACCCTGATCTGTGGGACACAGAGGGAAGAAGGGCACTCCAGAAGTGGGCGAGAAACTGGGCTGGGCCACCTGTCCAGGTGGCCAGTCCCTCCACCTTCCTGTTTCCTTTCCCTCCTCTCTCTGTCCTAGGATGGGGCTTCCTTGTAGTCACACAAAGACACACCCAACACACACGGAACACATGAAGCTAGGCAGAATGAAGACCGTGAAAAGACAAAGATCAGCTCAGGAGCTCATACTGATAGGGACACTTGGATCTACAGGCAGGAGGGCGCGCTGGCACACCAGGCTGACACACAGATACACGTGGACGCAAAGTGTGCAGCAGCCCTGCAATAACGAGCAGGCACACACACAGACACCAGTCCTGACACGCACAAACGCACACTCACACAGATAAATACAGTCCACATATGGCTGGGTGGGCACCTCTAGTATCAGACCGGGCTGGGAGGCAGACCCAGGAACCCGCAGGGCCCAGATGCACAGGGACAAGGAGAGGAATGGGCCACAGTCCTCCCTGTCTCCACTCAGCCCCGAGAGCCTTCCACAGGCAGCCTCTGGCTCCTTCCCAGCAGAGACGGCTGCTGCCAGCCCTCGAAGGCCCAGGCCCAGGTGTGGGTGCTCCAGGGCCCTGGCACTGAATCCACATACCCCACCCAGAAATGGTCACCTCACAGGGGCCCAGCAGTGCAGGACCGAGAGCACAATCCTGTTCCTGGTCTGTGTGCCACTCCTTGGCTCGTAACACCCCAGCCTGAGTCCCAGCCTTAACCCCCATGACCCCCTGGGAGCCCCTCAACCTCCTCAAGTGCTTCTCACCAACTCTAGCTTGGCTATGACTCCCCAGTCCCAACACTTACCCAGTTTCCCTCCTGCTGCTCACCCAGTTCCATAGCGAAAACTCCAGGAACCAAGCCTCAGCACCCAGGAGGCTGGGCCAGGGCCCCGCCCCCGCCCTAGGACCCAGATAAGCAGCCTGGTTCAGGTGGGAGGGGCAGGGCTGGTAGCCTGCAAGACTTAAAGTGGCAGGTGGGGCAGGTCGGGACTGGCGGTAGGTGTGTGCCTCTGCGGGCATGGGGGCAGGGAGCCTGAATGGAGGTGTTAGGGACCGCTGGGCCCTGTAAGCTGGGGGAGACTCCAGGGCAGCCCCGCATTCTGGGAGACCCAAGGCAAAACAGTGATGAAAAGACTCAGGGAAAGAAGGGACTGAGCACATGCTTCCCAGGCAGCACGAGCACAGGGTTCCACACCCTCACCCAAACTGACCAGCCTCCCCTCAGAGGTCTCTAGGCAAGCCTCCTCCTTCACCACCTCGAACCAATCACAGCATGCTGGACCCCAGAACCCCGAGTTTCTGCTCTCACAGGACAGGGTACAATCCTTCCTCTTGTGCATGCCTCAAACATGAATACACCAGCCAGAGCCCCCTGAGGTCCCCTGCTTTCTGGGGAACCCTGGAACCACTACCACAGATGGCATCTCCAAAACAGCTGCCCGAGCCACACCCAGGCCCCACATGCACCCACACATGCAGACACAAACGGCCACAATCACACAGGCCGTCAGGGCAGCCCACTCTGTTCCTTCCTCTTCCCTGACACCCACATCCCCAGATGACCTCGCCTAGACCAAGGTGGACAGTGCCCACCCATTGCAGATGCCAAAGACAAGGAAGAAATGAGGACCAGCACCTCTTCTAAAGAATGAGCCCTGGACAGAAGAGGAAAGACCACGGTCTTCTGCAGTTTCAGCTGGGCCAGAATTTGCTGTGTGACTCAGACAGATCCAAGTCTGTCCTTGGAACTGACTTTCATTCCTGCATCCTGTTCCTCAAGCTACACTCGTAATGTTTTCCTAGAACTCCACCGTGTGTAGGTAAATGCTGTGAAACTTATTTACACATGTAACTAAATGCTACGTTGTAGAATAGATGCAAAGTTAGAAGGTTTTAAAATAAAGTCATAGGGCCAGGGATGTAGCTCAGCAGCACATCCTCACATTTCCTGCCTGGAAAATGTGAGGCCTTGAGTTTGATTCTCCATACCAGAAAAACAAACAGAAAAAAATAAAATAAAGCCATAAGCCAGGCGCCGTGCTGCATGCCTATAATTCCAGCACTTGGGAGGCTGAAGCAGGAGAATCACTGCAAGTTTAAGGTCAGCCTAGGCTACATAACGAGTTCAAAGTCATTTTGAAATGCACACTGAGACCTTGTCTCAAAATACAACAAAATAAAACAAAGCCTGAGGGATGTGAGAGAGTCCTTCAGGAGACCAGGACCATGTAACAGTGGTCACTAAGGTACACGCTGAAAGTGGACACGCCTGAGGGGCCCAGGCCCTGCCCAACAGCCCCTCCAACTCTGCCAGCTGGCCTGCCCGTGTTCTGGCACAGACCCTGCCTTGGACAGCGGCAGCCTCCCTGGCATCTGCTCACCAGCCTCTCCATCTCCTGCTCCCGGAGCCGCTCTTGACGCTGTCGCCGGTGGTACTCCAGGAGGTCATCCTCGTTGTCGCTGATCTCTGTGATGCTATTTTTCCGATCCCGCACGACAGGAACCCGCAAATCCCCACTGGAGAGCTTCCTCTGGGCCCGGGGGCTCTGGCGAGGCGAAGCCCCAGTAAGAGAGCCCAGACTATAGGCTGGACTCAGCCTGCCACTGAAGCTGCCCTTGCGGGGTGCCAAGGACTCTCCCAATGTAGGTGAGGGACTCCTTGTCCTGCGGCCCCGGGCCCCCAGCGTCAGGGAGAAGTCTTCTGGAGAAGTCCCGTGCGCGGCCCAGCGGCGGGGCCTCGGGCTCTCTGCCACTTCCCTGGTTAGCTTGGGATCTGGGGTGGTCCGGGCAGGTAGTGGCGAGAGAGCGCGTCGAGACAGAGATGGGCTCAAGGGGGGTAGTTCTCGCATACTGTCCAGGCCCCGTCGGCCCAGGCGGGGGCTCTCAGGAGGCTGCAGGGTTCGGGTGGAAGACCCATCTGAAAATGTTCGGCCTACCATCTGGCGCATGGGGCTGGTTGTCAACACCCGCTCGGTGCCCGGAGGCTCATGGAAAGGGCTGGGAGGGCGGTCCTGGAGTGTGCCAATTTTGTTGCGGGGAGCAGGGACTGGAGGCTGGAACTTGGGGCTGCCAGGAATGCTGGTGGGTTGGCTACGGACACCGGAAGCTGGGTATTCACTCAGGCTAATAGCCACCACGGGCAGCTGCCCACCCAGCCGGGGGCTCTCAGTGGCCCTACGAGCCTCTGCCAAGACGGTGGCTGCAGGGCTGTCAGTCAGCAGGCCTCGGAGACCAGGGCTGGGCGGCCTCTCATGACCCCCTTTCCTGCCCAGCCGGGGGCTGTCTGAGGAGTGGCCACCACTCGGCCGGGACTGTGGGGGCTGCAGGGCCAGGTGGTAGCTGGAGGAACGAGCAGGCACAAGTGGGGGCACAGAAGGTCCTGGCTCTTGCCCACTGGGTGAATGGCTGGCACAGCTTCCACTGCTGGCTGGTGAGGAGAGTGGAGAGAAGGCTGGAGAGGTGTTCTCATAGCTGGAACCCACAGACATAGCGCCAGGGCTGGTTGGCGGGGAGAGCAGGTATCGCCCACCATTTGTCATTGGTGATAACGGGGAGGTTGCAGCAGGCTTCTTGCCGGCAGCCACAGGCTCCTCCAGCACCAGTGAATCCATGATTTCCTGCAGGTCCTTCTCAATTGAGCTCACCAGGGAGCTGTGGCTGGCACAGGCCGAGGGTCCCCGGGTGGCAGGCTGTGGGGTGTGGTTCCCATTCACCAGGCTTTCTGATTCAGCTGAGAGGAAAGCAAAGAGGTTTCAGACCCTGGTCTCTAACTGTGGGGAGCCATGTGCGTGCAAGGGTGAGGCACCCTACCTCTTCCTAGCACAGTGGGGCTGCAGAGGTGCTGGAGGAGCTAGGGGATCTCTGTCACTGACCTGCTCTGCAACTTTGGTCAAGTCACTTGCCCTCAGTTTACCATCATTTACCCTCTGACTTTCACGGCTTAGGATAGAGTTAGCAACAATGGCAGAACGTCTAAGCCCAGTTGTTGCCGACTCACCTCAAGACTAGACCCCTCCCTGCCTTGCTTTCCCAACCTCCTATATCTCTCTTTCAGGAAGGCCAGGTGGGCATTCTGCAAAGCAGATGGGAATCTACTGTGGGACTGGCCAGAAGTTGCACGGCCTCCTCCTCTAGTAGCACATCAAGGCCTCCAACTCGGCAGCCAGAGGCCAGGGAAAAAACCAAGCCTGCAGGGCTGGGCGAGGGGGTGTGTTCAGCAGAATCAGAAGCAGAGGAGGGACCCAATGCTAAGCGCCAGTTCCTGGAAGCCGAGCTGGCCAGCCCTGAGGTGCAGCTCAGTGCCTCCAATTATCCCTTTAAGCCACACCAGCAAGAGCCTGCCTTTGCTGGGCCCCAGCCCCTGTCAACCAACCAGGAGTTTGGAATCCCTGGAACCAATGCTCCAAACAGCTAAGGGAGGGGCATGACAAGGCCAGGGCGGGGAGAGGGTAAAATTAACTAGGGAGTGGACGGAGCTTCCCAGCCTCCAGGGGACTGCAGGATACGGATGAGGGAAGACAGGAGTGCCTGACTGCAAGACCGATTCAGTCCAAAGTTCCGGGGCCACAGACGGACTGCCATGAGTACTGGTGGTTCCAGTGACCGACCACTCTTCAAGTGCCCGTACTATGTATTTAGGCCACTAAGAACCACCTAGCCACCAAGTGTACTAACATGTGCCCACCTGCTCCCATACAACACTGGCACCTTGTACCCCACAGCCATCTGAATGGTAGGGTCCAGTTCAGGGTGGTAGCCTCCTGGTCTGCACCCCATGCCCCAGGCAGATGGCTGGGGGGGGGGGGTAGGGGCTGTGTTGGTTGCTAGAACAAACACCAATTCTCCTCTAGGGATCAATAATTCACACGCAAGCTGCAGCTGCTTCTCTGAGTCATCAGCAGGCATGGCATGGTCTGAGGGCCAGGCAGGGCCAGAGAACAGGATCACCAGCAGGTGGCACCCATCAGAGTTTACTGAGGGTTCAACCAAAGGTTCAGGCCATCCTCCAGAAAAAGGCTCCCAGGTGGGGACACAAAAGGACCAAACACAGTGGCAGTAGGGTTCAGACTGGAGGAACCTTCCATCCCCGGAGGTGCCTGATTCCCTAATTTCAGGCAAGCAGCACTCCCTTGCATCTCTCAGGGGCCCCACGGCCTTGCATGCACCAGCAGCCTGTGGCAGGTGGCAGTGAGCTCAGACCATGGGTCTTATCCTGCCCTGATACTGCAAGAGTGGCCACCGTGAGCAAGAACTATCCAACAGGTACCGCCAACCCGATCCCCGGCCTCAGCTGGGTACCTACCAGAGCCAGGGCTGTAGGGGGGCCCAGCGGCCCGGCTCCCAGCTGGAATCATGCTTTTCATCCACTTGGCTTCAGCAGGATGGTTAAAGCGGAGAAAGGTGGACTGACCCAGGCACAACATGCAGCCTGCAGAGAAAGCAAACACTTGCAAGGGGCAGCCAAGGGCTGAGCCACCCCAGTCCGCAGCACCGAAGAGCTGTCCCTGCCGCACTCAGTGCCCACCCAGTGCACACCTGTCTCTGCCTGTCCCTGAGATGGCCCCTCCTGGCTCCAAAGCAGGGCACAGAGCCCACTGGTGAGAGAATGCCACAATCTGCATCCTCCCTCTAACTCCAACTCTAACTCTTCTCAGTAGCTGTGTGACCTTCGAGTGAAGTCACCTGGTCTGAGTCCAGTTCTCTCATCAGAAAAATGGGACACCACCACTGACCATGGGGGTTTAATGTGCGTGCGAAAGTACTTCTATCAGTGCAGAAAGATCTCAGAGAACACGGACATTCATGGCCAACCTCAACCTGTATCCATGATCCATCTAACTGTCCTTTGGGTAGAAAGATTAGTTTGAGAGGCAGCAGTTTCTGGGGTCACACACAAAAAAATCTCTGAGAAGCCAGATGTGGTAAGATACACCTGTAATCCCGGAGGAGGCTGAGGCAGGAGGATCACCATAAATTCCAAGCCAACCTGAACAATTTTGTGAGATCCTGCTTAAGAAGCACTGAAAACAGCTTAGTGATACAGCACCCCTGGATTCATCACCAGTACTAAAAATGCAGTACAATAAATACAATACAATACAATATGATAAAATAGTAAAAAAAAAAAAAAAAAACCTATGGGAACAAGGCAAAAACATAGATTCATCAGATGCCCTAGTGGGGCTCAGAATTTTTGTTTGTTTTGTTTTGCCTAGACAGGGTCTCACTACATAGTAGACTGGTCTTGAACTCACTATGTAACCTAGGCTGGCTTCGAACTCGCAGCAGTCCTCCTGCCTCAGCTTCCCAAGTGCTGGGATTACAGGCTTGCACCACCACGGGCAGCCCGGACTCCTTCTTGTTGCATGGCCATAAATACTGCCACCCTCTCTTCGAGTGCAGGGAGCAATCACTGTCCTCTTTCTTTACTTCTGGTAAAGCACTTTCGGGGTGCTCCCTGGTCTCCCCAAAATCTACCCAACCCGAGGCCACTGGGCTCAGCTTCAGCCAAGCACATTTCCAGGCAAGAGTCACAAGCCCAGTCCTGCCCGGGGAGTGAGTGCATGGAAGCGGGAGGGGAACTGGGAGCCAGAAAACGTAACCAGGGGCTCAGGAGTGTGTGCGGGCGCAGGTGTGCCCACAGGCTCCTCACCCTGGCTGGCAGAGTTCCACCTCCTGGCCACACCAGGTGCTGGAGGGAGCCTGCAGAGCTGGGAGAGGCCAACGCCCTAGTGCTCTCTACAGTACCCCTTGCAATCTGTCCACACTGCTGGCTCAGTCTCCTGGCTTCCCAATCTGGTGCCACTTGGCACCCCAAGCTCCATGCCATTCTGAGCTAAGACTGGCAAGGAAGTGGACATTCCTGGACGCTGAGACAGTTTAGCTCAGGCAAGCCACAAGGGCATGGGGCATTGCAGGCCTCAGGGATACTTTGGCAGGCCCCTTGCTGAGATGCTCAGGAGCCTGCTCCTAGGACCCTGGGCATTTGCTGCTGGGTGAGGGTTAGAGGTAGTGGGCTAAGCAAAGGGTAGAAGCCCATCATGGATAACCATAGTGGACAAAACCACCCACTACTACACCCAAGGGTCACCCAGGCAGGAAGCACCAACAATTCTAAAGGCTGATAGATGGTTGCAAAAGAAGGGGATCTTCCCTGCCAACCCACCAATCAGAGGAGCCGATCCCAGAGTAATCATAGCTAGAATAAATAATAGTCAACCACAGGGCTCACCTAATTACAACTACAGCTGTTTAGAAGAGCACTGCCAGGTCCCTCTCCTTCCTTACAGCCATTTAACAAGCTCATTAATGATGACTTTGCAAGCAAGGTCTAGACAGACCCACTCAACCCAGGTTGAGGGGGCACAGGATAGAGCTGTGGGGTGGGCAACCTGACCACTCAGACCAGGCTGGAGAAGAGGTGAGGATCTAGTGGAATCCAGCCCAGCAGTGCCAGACCCACCCACAGAGGCTGTGAGCATCCAGGACCCTCCACCCTGGCCACTATCGCCCTAGGGTCCCTGCCCCCACCCTCTCCCACACGGGGGTGTGGCCACGATGCCTGTCAGCTATAAATAGTGATACAGGCAGCAAAGCAGGCTGTATTAATAGAGTGGGCTGGAGGCAGCAGGACCAGGAGCAGCCGGGCTCCTGCCCAAATTAACTTTCTATTTGAATTCAGGGGCCCAAGGCGTAGCCGGATCGTAGCCTGACCGCCGGCCACCGCCACTCTCAGGCTCCTGGTGAGCGCGTTTCTGGGAGGACGCCCCCTCTCTTCCCCGTCCAGCTCCACACCAAGGGCCAACCCTCTCCGGAACTACAACCCGGGACCCGGCGGGCCAAAATCCTGCTCCCTGCCCCCCATGCCCTGAGGGGCTCAGGGTCTGGCCTCGCGCAGGTGGGCTGGGAGAGCTGCACAACCGGAGAGAAAAAGCTGGGCAGAGAGGGCGGATCCTCCCTCGGAGCGCTGTGGAGGGGAAATGCCACACACAGACTGCCGCACGCACGGACTCAGAGACCGACCTGCTCACACCTTCGCGGAGGGCAGTCCCTGCCTGCTGGCCACGCAAACAGAATGGACTGGCCAGAGGGCGGACGGAGAGCACGAGAGGAAGGGTCTCTGCCCTTCCCATCACAGGCTCCTCTTGGCCATAACACAGGCTCCCTTCATCCCAACCAAGACCCCTCAACCCCTCCGGGGAGCAGGTCTTCGGGAGGCGACTGCCCGGCGCTGGAAACACGCGGTCTGCATCGCGGAGAAGTGTCCCCAAGCCCAGACCCCCACTCGGAGAGGTTCGGGGCGCACCCTCCCTCGAGTCTCCGGCTCCAGGAGGGGACGGAGGACCCCATCCCCCTCCCTCGCGCCCACCTCCCAGGTCGCGCCGGCTACCTGGGGCTGAGGACTCACCGCCGAGCCCGGGGCTCCGGAGCGCGCTGCCCGCCCGCCCGCGCGGGCCTGCAGATCCGCGGCCAGCCCGGGGCCTCCGAGGGGGCGGGCCGACCTCCCGCGCCGCCGGCCCCGGCCGGAGCGAGCAGCCAGGCAGCCAGCAGCCGCCAGTGCCCGGGGAGGGCGGGCCGGCCACCAGCGGCGGGGGAAGGGAGCCAGGAGGGAGGGACAAAGGCGAGGAGGAGGGGAAGAGGAAGTGATGGAGGAGGCGAGCGTGGAACTGGATGCAGAGGGCGGGGCCGGGAGGATGCCGCGCCTGGGGGGAGCAGGAGGGAAAGTGGGGCAGGGAGGACAGAGGTTCGAGGGCGGTGCCAGGGCAAGAGAAGGTAAGAGGCAAACACTGAGCCCAGAGAGCCCAGCGCTCAGGAGGCTGAGGCAGGAGGACTGATTCGAGTTCCAGGCCAGCCGGGGCTACACAGTGAGCTCACAGCCCTGTCTCAAAAAAAAAAAAAAAAAAAAAAGAGACCAAGGGATAAAGAGCCCGGAGGTGCCCCTAGCATGGGTCTCACCCAGAGTCCTCTGGGGAGGGGTGGAGAGACAGGTGCCCTTCCTATGTGGGAAAAGAAGCACCCTCACCATGCATGTCTCTTACACACACGAATTCTTCCAGTCTCATCCCGCGGCCCCAGCCCCCCTGGGTGTCACACTCACTCATGCCCAGCCATCCTCTCACTCAGCCTTAGAGAGAACTAAATAAAAAGTCAGGCTGCACCACGAAACAACCAGGGAGATCCACCTTTGCTGATAGTACACTACCAGCCACTCACACTGCCACAGCCCTGACACACACACACACACACACTCACACAGGTGCATTCACTCACATATGCCCACTCATTCTGTTCCAAAGAAAAAGGAAGACCCATATAAGGTCACATGCAAAAGGAGGGGAGACTTTAAAAAAAACAAAACCTCCTCAGGAAGAGTGATTCATCGGTCTGGAAACTGTGATGGCCAGCTGGACAGTCCCGGGCAGCCTGAGCGATGCCGCAGAAGGCAGACACATGGGAGTGGGAAGCTGAGCTTTAGTACTGGAATTCTGCATCAGTCTTATTACAGTGCAGAGAAAGCTCAGAGGCTTTATTTCTGATTTACAGGAACAACTGAGAACTGCTGGGAGAAGAGAGGCCCCGTGTCCTAGATCCCAAAGAGAGGCACCTGGACATCCTAGAACCCACGGCTCCCCAGCTACCCTCCTGCTCCAGCCCCACACAGTCGTCATGCCACTGAGGGGCTTACTTACAGGCCAAGGCTGGCAGCCCATGGCAGGAGGAGTAGGGACGGCTGTCTAGACATCCTGGGGCCCTGAGCTGTGTGGCTTTCTGGGGCTTCCTCTACTTAGTCCCCTCCCCAGTCTTTAATGTGGTCTGGCCTGCGGTCCCAGGGTGGGGCAGCCTTGTTTCCTAGGTCTCATTCCCAGCCCTGCGCCTTGCTCTGTGGAGAAGAGGGCAGCATGGGCCGTGCCAAGTGCCGGGGTCCAGGGGTAGAACCAAGGTTCCCTGGCTCCCTCATTTCCAGCTCCCATGTTCATAGCTCTAGGCTAAAGGTTGGCATCTGCGTTCTGCCAGCCTCCTCCTCCCTCCCTCAGCCCAACACACTCCTGCTGGAAGAGCCTGTCACCGCCATCCCTGCTTGTCATAACTGTGTCTCTCCGAGTTGCCTATGGTGGGCACAATGCCCAGTATGATGCTTCCACAGCCTGGCCAGCCTTGTGATTCCCAAGATATCCCTCTGTTTTTCAAAGAAGAGGGTCTCATCTACACAGCTAGAGGAGGGGTATAAGACAGAAAAAATAATGTCTTTTTTTTTTCTTTTTTTCCACACTGGGGATTGAACTCAGGGCCTTTGCACTAAATTACATCCCTGACCTTTTGTTTACTTTTTAATTTTGAGACAGTCTTCCTGAGTCACTAGGTTGCTCCAGCTGGGCTCAAATTTGTGATTCTTCTGCCTCAGCCTTCAAGAGTACTGGGATTTTAGGCATGTGCCACCATGCCCAGATAAACGGTCCCCTTCTACACATGCCCACAAGTAGGCATTGGGCCAGTGAGTTCTCGTATGCACACAGGGGTATGCACAGAGACATTTGGGTTCCTTTGGCCCCGGGCTCACCCCTACCAACTACTTGAACATGCTGATATACAAAGACAGGGAAAGACACAAACAGAAAATACACAAGCCCTGCATCCCAAATTTATTTGGAGATATGTAAACACACTCCAGTTATGCAGACACACAGAGATAGCATGTGCACCCCTGAGCCACCCAGTTTCCAAGGAAACACAGTCCCAAGAATGTCCGGAGTGGGGCCAGGCAGGGCTGGGCTTGGTGCCTTGCTCCAGAGATGAGACAAGGAAACCCTCAGCTCCTGGAGCCCAGGAGAGGGGGGCAGCTGGGGAGAAGAACACCCAATCCTTTGTGCTTCCGCCTACCCCTCCACGGGCTGCCAAGCTTCTGAGACAGGCAAGCCCAGACTGGAAGGCCGAGGGTAGGGGGAGGCAAAGGGAGTTTAGGGTCAGAAGAGTGGGAGAGTACATATTTGGCAGGGTGGGCTTCTGGCTGAGGAAGGCGGGGTCATTGGGGCCGCAGGAAATGCTTAAGAATCCCATGGTGGCCTCAGGCCCTCCCTTTTCTCAGAGAGCTAAATGGTGTGCTGGGAAGACCAGACAAGAGAGAGCACCTTCATTTCAACCTGCTCACCACACACAGGTCGAGAATGCTCTTACCCATGGAAGCCATGGTGGGGCGCAGAAGGGGGACAGGGATAAGGCCGGGTGTCTTTGAACCTTGCCCTGCCCCTCCTCTACTGTCTCACCTCCCCTCACCAAACCCTGGAGTGGACGCATGCTCTGAGACCAAACAGGAGCTAGACAGCATTTTGGCCAAAGCCCCAGTTCTTGGGGGCTTCTCCTTTACCCAGAGTCAGAGACACTGAAGCCCTGGGGAAGGATTGCAGAGCTGCTTCCCTGAAACTGCCTGGCTTTGCATATTACCATCCCCAGGACAGGAGGCAGGGTGGGGTTTAGTCCATTCTTAGGTCAGCTGTGAAGGAAACAGTGTCTAAAGGTGCCAAGGGATGTTAACAGAGGATCTGAGGAGTCAGTGGAGTAAGGGGGAGGAGAACTTCCAGCCAATGGAGCCCCCAGAAAACAATGTCCCAGGCAGCCCTCCCCTGAGAGCCAGGCTTAGCCCAGGACTCACATCCTCATGTTCACCTCCCCTCCAACCCCCAACCACATCTGCCTTTTCTCACTGCTCTAATCAGACAACGCATGCTGCTTCCGGGGTGAACCCATCTGGCCTGTCCAAGTGCCACCTGGCCACCCACTGTCTGCCTGGTAACCATAGTAATCAGGGGCCCTTGCATAACAAACTACCTGGTGCTGTGGAAAGCAGTGTGGTGACTGTATTCACGGCCCAAAGCCACTGTCAGTGGTCTTGCAGCAGGAGCAGGCTTGTCTGCAGGTTTTTTGTTTTGTTTTGTTTTGGTACCTGGGATCAAACTCATGACCTCACCCTTGCTTATGCCTCTGAGCTAAATCCCCAGCCTGTCTGCAAGTTTTGCCTTCATGGTCTACTCTTGTCCCATCCCCAAAGCAGTTTGGTCTTCCTTTACAGCTTCTTACTATTTATTTATTTATTTTTGTCTTTTTCTTTTTTATCGGTACCGGGGATTGGACTCACGACTGCCTGCTTGCAAGGCAGGCACTTATGCCGCTGAGCTAAATCCCCAGCCCCTCTTTACAGCCTCTTAAAACAACTCTTTGGGCATCAGGAACAATATCTGATTCTCCCCTTTTTTTTTTTTTTTTTTTTTTTTTTAATTCAGCACTGGGGACTGAACTCAGGGAGCACTGAGCTATGTGCCCACCCCTTTTAATTTTTCATTTTGAATCACCATCTCACCAACCTGCCAAGCCTGGACTCAGACTCATGATCTACAGCCTCAGCCTCCGAGGTAGCTGGGATTACAGGTGTGTGCCACCGTGTCCTGCCACTCCTGCCTTCTGGATGCTGTTCCACCAGCTCCCCCCAACAACCACGAACAACCCTCCGGGCAGACCCCTCTGACAGCAAAAATGCAAACCTTTTCTCTCCCGGTGTGGGGAGGCAAGGTGAGGGCAGTCAGAAGAGAAAGGCAGGTTGGAGACAAATCTGGAGGCTGGAGGGATTTGAGATGTGACATGAAGAGCCAATGGAGTATGGCGATTCAGGCCGTTACCATAGCAACCACTACACCAGGCTTCCCCTGCACCAGGCACATACACACTCTGTAACAGAGGCCGCTTCCTCAGTAAGGAGGTATAAAACCTTACCCTGAGTGAGTCGGGTTGGCTGTCGAACTAGGAGCCCATCGATAGTACAGGCATTGCCACAAGGGTAGAGGGTGAGGGTGCCCCGAAGATTCTCGATGTAACAGTGCTCTGGAGCCAGGCCTGGGCCCTGCAGGGAGATGTCCTTGGCTGCAGAGCCTATCACCGTCCTTCCTGGAGACAGAGGGAGCAGAGTCAGCAGGGATCAGGCTGAGGAGGCAGGGACAGGGCAAAGGGCCACAGCGTGGAAATACGTTTCCACTCACATCTCTACCCACCACTGGGTACTCCCCCATGGGGGACCCCCCCCCAAGCTAGTAAGCCAGTAACTGGCAGCTCTGCTCAAGCAGAAGAAACTGCCTCAGAATGGGACAGCCCAGAGGGCACAGGAACCAGACTCCCCTGAGAGCACAGAGAAGGGGGGCTTCTTTTCAAGACCTCATTAGTCTCCCTCCTGCTCCTCCTTCCTCCTCTTCCCTCTTCTCCTTCCTGCTAGTACTCCCTCTTCTTACACTCTCTCTCTGTCTCTCTGTCTCTCTCCCTTCCTTCTGCCACCCGTAACCCATGTCTGCCCTTCCTCCCTCTCCAGCACTTGGGTGCTGCTTCACCCAGAAAACCCTCCCTGGCAGAGCCCCCGGGACTGGTATTTGGAGAATGTGGGGAATGTAGTTATCACCCGGGCAACAGGTGCAGCCAGGAGAGGAGAAGGGAGGACAGAAGCTGAGGGCTGAAGGGAACTATGCCAGGGCTCCCCTTGGGCTATGGTGCCGCTGCTCCCATCTTTCCATTCTCCCCCAGCCCAGCCTCGCAGGCCAGGAGTCGGGGCCCCCTTTCTTCGCGGCCACACTGGTGGCTCGGAGCAGCATGCCCTCCTGTTTCTGTCAATGCTCTCTTCCTCCCTTCTAAACTGATCCGTATCTGACTATCATGCAGTCAGATTATCTACCAAAGAGGGTGGGAAGTCCCAGCAGAAACACTGCCCTTTTAGAGCTGAAGGACCCCCAACTCAGGCTGAGACCCCGTGGGGAGAGGAGGCAGACAGGTCACCTTGTCCTCACTTACCTTCCTCCAGCGGCAGGAGAGTGATGGCGGTGCTGAGCCGCCCGCTGCCCAGGCTCACCAGGTGAGGTTTGTCCGTTTGCACTTTCAGCCCCTTGCCGGTATCAATCAGGTCCAAGGGTCCTTTCTGCAGGTGGCAGGGGTGGAGAAGGAGCATCATTAGAGACTCAGGCCAGCGCCTTACCTCCCAGGCATCCCAGTCAGACCAGTGCTCTCCAGTCTTTGACTCTCTCCAAAGGGCTCTGAGGGTGCTAATGGGTTTAACATAAAATCTCAACCAGAGCACTATCTCACAAAATTGTAATTAGATCTGAATCTAGGCCACTAACTCGTCCCAGTGGATTTATCTCAAGTCTTGGCTCAACTTCCCATTTTTGTCTAAAACAGAAACAAGGCGAGAGGTGGGGAGGCAGAGGGCACTCAGTGTAAGAGGCCCTGACCAGCTCTGGCAGCCTCGGCTGGTGCTATCTGCAGGGTGGCTGTCTGTCCCTGCTCCACTAAACTGTAAGAGACCGGGAAGCATGGGCCAAGGTGATACAGCCCAGAGACTAACTGTAAACTGTTTTCTGACTTTCAAAGGGGAGTCTCTAGATGAACCAATTAGCCTAGTTCAGATGAAGACTGAAGTGTTAATAACTACAGGACCTGCAGAAGGGCGGAGAGAAACAGAACTACCTTCTCACCCTTGAGCTGGCTCCTGAGAGATGTAGCAGGCCTGAACCCTTCCTTCTTGCCCCGTGGCCCTGGCCCCACTCACCTGCACCACGGCCTGGGTCTTGCATCCAGGGCCGACCCGGCTCCTGTTGAGAGCATCCATAGTCCTAGGGCTCCAGAGCTCCTGGGGACAAAGCATAATGCAGGTGATACAGGGAGACCAGGGAAGAAGAAGGAAAAAGTGCCCGGTGGCAGGGTTCTCAGGTCAGGCTCAGCACCAGCCAGCATCATTCCCAACAGCCTCGAGCTAAAGAACAGCAGAAAGTGGGGACAACAAAGGAGACGGGTAACAGGCCTAGTCTCCAGCCTCCAGCCACCACACGGGCACCACAGCATACCAATCCTGGCCCTGGCCATCGCAAGCACCAAGCCTGGCCTGTACTTCCGTGATTTCTTGCTATTTTGCTACTCAGAATCCAGACCTTGGGCCGGGGACATAGCTCGGTGGCACAGTGTCATCCTGGGAAGCGTGAAGTCCTGAGTTCAATTCTGGGTAATAAAAAAAAAACCGGGCTGGAGATTTAGTTCAGTGGCATAAGCACCTGCCTTGCAAGCACATGGTCAAGAGTTTGATCCCAGGTACCAATAAAAAATTTTTAAAAAAACCATTTCAAATTTTCTTCAAACGATAAAAAAAAAAAAATCAAACCCAGGTCTTAGCAGCTGAAGATTTCCGGCTATCTGGAGCCTTAAGCATGGTGAGGAAAATCTACCTTAACAGGAGGAGCAAACTCCAGTGTCCAAAACCCAAAGACTGCAAGCCAGAGAGCCGCGGGTGGGAAGCAGGGGCTTCCTCTCCCAGCTCTTCCTCCTCTTCTCTTTTTCCCCAGGATCTTAGTAGGATGTTTCTTCTTAAAAGAGATGTGGGGAAAACCCAGCCACTCTTGCCATCTCTGTGTATCTCAGTTTCCTGTACCTTTTCTTTCTCAGAAATCAACCTCATCCCAACACAATCAGCTCAAAATCTACTGGGAGTGCAAGGTTCTTGAATTCCTACCTGGCTTGGTGCTGTTTAGGAACCTAAGGCCCTTAAAACCACAGAGAAGATAGATTACAGAGCCAGAACCTGAATCCCTCAGCCACCTACCTACCTGTCTTTTCCTGGCTCTTGTGGTGCCTGGACTGTGAAGGGGACCCTGTGTGTAGTAACCTGTCTCCGTATGCCAACCGACTGACAGTGGTTCACCTTGCAAAGGTGAGAAACTTGCCATTGTCTTCTGAAATGTTACTGGGGAAAGCTGAGGCCCAGAGAGTTCCCTTCTGCTTTCACTGTTTCAGCCGTCTCCCAGATGGCTTACTTAGGGAGGAAGTAAGGGCAGGAGCCAGCATTCCAAAGAGTGGCTGACCCTGGCAGTGGGTCCCAAGGGCCCTCAGCCACGGAGTTACTAAATTTACCCTCTCAGCTTCCACCCTTCCGGGCCTGGACCACATAATCTCCGCCACCATTTCCACCCAAGCCGGAGGAAGAGAGGCCGGAACAGTGCTTAGGGCCCACCTCAAGACTATTTGGGAGGAGGCAAAGCAAAGGCCATTAACCCCCGCCATGCCCTACGCTGGCCTGCCATCTCCCCAGCAATTCTGGCCACAGGAAAGTTTCCAGAGACAGAATGCTGTACTGCTTCCTTAGACTCGGGGAAATCCCTCTGCACTTCCTGAGGGAAGAATGGGCTAGAAATAGGAAGCTCATATAAAAGAGTGCAGAAGAAAAACAAAATAATAAACAATGGTGAAAGGAAGGTATTATGAAAGAAGTTTCAGAGTGGGATGAAAAGTCTTAAATTCTACCCTGAAGCCCAGCATGGTGGTGCACATCTGTAATCCCAGCATTTGGAAGGCTGAGGCAGAAGGATCACTGGGCGATCAAGGCCAGCCTGGGATACAAAGGGAGTTAAGGCAGCCTAAACTGCCTAGCAAGACCCTGACTCAAGAAACCAAAATAAATAAATAAATAAATAAATTCTACCCAGGGTGTATTATTCATTAGCTGTAAGATCTTGGACAGGTTACTCCAGTTTGCTCATAATCAATCTTCTATAAAACTAGAATAATACTTTTTAAGAGATTGTCTTTAAAAAGAGAGAGAGATTGTGTAGATCAGTGTTTGCCTGAGCTGGACTGGAATTCAAAGAGATTGGCAGAACTTTTTTTTTTTTTTTTTTTTTTTGAGGAGTGCATTAGAAATTTTCTAAAATAATTTTATTTTTGTCTTTTTTGAGATGGGGTCTCACTATGCAGTTCAGGCTGGTCTTGAGCTCACTTTGTAGCCCGGGCTGGTCTCGAACTCAAAACGATTCTCCCACCTCAGCCTCCTCAGTGGTGGGATTACAAGTGTGAGCCACCACACCCAGCAGAAATTTTCTAAAATTAAATCGTGATGATGGTTGTTCAGCTCTAAACATACTAAAATCATGGCGCAATTAAATTGGGTGGATTTTAAGGTATATAAATTACATCTCAATAAAGTTGCTAAGGTTTTCTTGAGGACTGTCTGAAGATTGAGGTAGTATACACTCAATGACACTCCAGAAATGCAAAATTACTATCTAAATGCCAGTTGTTGTTATGAGCGGTACAATGTTCAGTGAGGCACTGAGTCTGTCTGGACCTCAGTTTCTCTGTCTGTCTGTCACACTGGAGTGTTTGTCACCATCACTCTTAAGTATTTGGGAGTGTTCATTTCTTTATACCAAAGAACTTCAAGAGGGAGATAAAGGCTGTAAAGAAACAACTTTGAAGGGAGCATGAGTGATTAGAGGAGAGAAGAGACGGCATAAGGAGGTGAAAGGAGAGAGAGAGATAAGGAGAGAGGCAGGGAGAAGATAAGAAAAGGTGTAGAGATTGGGCGGTGCGAAGCGGTGGCCCCAGCTCGGAAACTTAACCCAGGTGAAGTGGAAAAAGACACCGGACCAGCCTGCCAGGCGCGCAGGTCGCGCCGTGACAGTGGGGTTTCGCGGCAGCCCAGGGAGCCGCCACCTGGGGGCGCCGTCTCCTCGGACCCCTTCAACCCCGGCCCGGGAGGCGACCCCCGCTGGCTCTCCCACCTCCACCCCACCCAGCTGTAATTACCACTTGGCCCGGCGGCCTGGCCTCCGCAGCCCTTCTGGGAAATTCTCGCTCCGCCACCAAAAAAATGTCCCCGGGGTGCAAGGCTGGCTTTCGCTCCCGCTCCCGGACTCGGGTACAGGGGAGCAGGCTGGCAGCGGCCTCGGAGTGCGGGCCCGGCGAGCTGTTGCGAGGGTCCCCGCGTGCAGCGAGGCTGGGGGTCCCGCAGGTGACCCCGCGGGCCGCTCCGGCCTCCTCGCCCAGCGGAAATGCGCAGGCAGCGCCGTCTCCACCGAGCTGGGCGCCGGGTCCCCCCTAGGGGTCTCGTCACCCGAATGGGGGTAAAGGAGGCCCCCGGGGAGGCAAGCAGCCCTGGCGGCAGCAGTTTCTGAAGGAGGTCGCAGCTCCCGCGGGACCTCGAGACCAAAGGTCCGGGGCGAACCGCCGAGCCAAAGGCTGGCCCTCGGCGGAGCCGCCGCTCGGACCTCCCCGAGCCCCTTCGGGTCACCCCAGCCCTCACCTGAGTCCCGGGGGCCCAGCCGAGGCCTCGCCCCGGGCGTCGCATGGCTGTGGCGGGGCCTGCGGGGCCGAGCCGGGATCCTCCGCCAGCGGCGGCCTCCGCCTTCCCCGCGCACATCCGCCCCAGAGGAAGGAGTCGGACGGGAAGGAAACTGAGGCTGGGAGCCCAGCGGGCGGGACGCCCAGGCGGAGCGGGCGGGGCGAGGGTGTCCGAGGCGGAGAGGACCTCAGAAGGAGAAAAGGGAGGCAGGAGAGGGACCTGCGGGGGGACGGGGAGCGGACACGCCTCGATTCGGAGGGAGAAATGAGGAGGGGCGGGGTGGGGTAGGCGGGGGTCGAGGAAAAATGGAAGGTGGGAGGGAGGGACCCAAGACGGGATGGGGAGACGGGGCAGGGGCCTCAAGCGGAAGGGGTGACCGACGGGGAGACCGAGAGCACCGGGAGGCACAGAACGCGCGGCGGGCGAGGCGCTGGAGCCCGGACGCCGGCGCCCAGAAGCGTGGGAGAGAGATGGGCAGCCCGGGCGCAGAGGCCAGGAGCGGGGACACGCGCGGGTCGTTTGTGGGGTCGTTTGTGGGGGCGCTGGAAAGGGGCGCCTCACAGAAGCCGAGGCCGCGCGGAATTTCCGCCGCGAAGAGGCCCCGGTGGCCTCTCTTGGCCCGTCGCGGGCCACGGCGGGGGACAAGGCCGCAGTGTTGGGCCGCCCCGCCCGCCCGCCCGCCCGCGCGCGCCCTGGGACAAGCGGCCTTTCTTCGGCCGGAGGGAGAAGGGGACTCTTGTTTGCGCAGCGGGGACAGGGGGCGGCCCCCGCACGGCGCCGCTCCAGCTGGGCAGCCGCGGGCAGGGGGCTGGGGTGTGTAGGAGTGCGCCTGAGCGCGAGTGTGCGGAGCGTGGGGCGTGGCGCGTCCTGGGCGTGGGCCACATCTGCGCGTGTGACGCAGCGGACGGCAGTGTGTGCGCGTGGGAGCGGAGCGTGGGGTGCCGCGTGGACGTCCGAAGTGGCGGAGCGTGCGCCCGCATGACGACGGCTGCGAGGTGAGCCCGCCGTCGGATGAGTCAGCCGCAGGAGCCCCGGGGACCGCTGAGCTAACGGGCCCAGAATGCAGCCCCGCCCCGGCGCCCGGTCCCCCGCCGGGCTGTGGGTCGCGGTCCAAGTTCCCGCTCGCCGCCTCCGTGGGAGCGTCCGACGCTCCACGGCAACCCCGAGCCGCCGGGGGGCCCCAGCCAGCCGCCAGCCGCGCTTCCCCGTCCCCGGGGAGTCCGATGACTTGGCGCAGCGTCGTCGCGGGGATCTCCGCTAGGCATTCGGGTCCAGACCGCGAAGGCGCGGCAAAGGCTGGGAGTCACTCTTCCAGGCCTCCCTGCACCCGCCCAGCCCTAGAAGGCGTGGAGCCTCGGAGGAGTGTCTGGAGGTAGCGACGAGCTTCCCACATCCCGGTCGCAGCCAAAGACCCCTCCTGGACTGCTTTTCCACCTAGCAGGACTCCACGTCCCTTCCTTGTCTATCAAGGCTGCTGGCCTGGGACACCAGCTGAGACACCCCAAGGGACCCCCCCCTCCCTGAGGTCCTGCTGTAGGCTGAAAGGGGACAGTAGAGGATGCTGGAGATGCACACACTTGACCCCGAGGGTGGCAACCTGGGGGATCCTGAAAGGCTCGGCGTTCCAGGCGGGGAGAGCGCGAGGGCCCCGTAAGCAGTGGCGCTTGGCGCTTGGCGCAGCTCCGGAGGGTAAAAGCAAACAACTCTCCGGAAAGCGGCAGTGCTGACTCCCACAAAATTCCCTTTGCTCTGTAGGCACTCACCTGGGATGTCCCTCTTCCCCCACGAGCTTCTTCAGAGCCCTTCAGTCCGGAGCTGACCTACCAGGCTCCAGGGACTTCCCCCGTGCAGCGCCAGCCCCGCAGAGAATAACACCCGCAAGCGTAGGGAGAGTGGGCGCGCTTACCTCTCGCAGCGAGAGGGGGACACAGGTCGCTGTGCCCGGTTTGGCCGCGGCGGCCCCAGGCTCTGGGGGACACTGTTGCTTTTTCCCCGGGAGCCTGCTGAGTAGGAGGAGAGGAGCCGTCCCGCCTCCCTCCCGCTAGTCCCCGCCCTTACCCCAGTCCCGTCCTGTCCGCCTGGCCAGCCAGAGAAGACGCCCTTGTGGAGCTGGAGCCCAAGGTCCCCCACCCACCCTTTCCCACAGCAACACCTCCCCACCCCCTCGCCTGCACAGCACCAGCTTTGTTCATCTGTACAGCTGGGCTGTCCACCACACACACACCCTCTCCTCCCGCCCTCCCCTGCAGCCTCTCCTAGACCACCCTTCACCCCTAGGCTCTGGTAGATTTCCATGCATTTCTCTCTCTCTCTGTCTCCTTCCCTCCCCCTCCTCTTCCCTCCCTCGGCCCATCTTGGGTACTGACACTTCCACAGGTGGCCAGTAAACCACCTCATTGCTGTCCCTGTACCATGCTGGCAGCGTTTCCTCAAAACATCTCCTGAAATTTCCCTGAACCCTTTTCCAAGCTGAAGAGCTGTCGACGGAGTTGATATCCCGTCAGACTTCACTTTCCTCCTGAAGACAATATGACAGTGTAAAACTAAGACATGTTGGAGTAAGGAGTGTTAAAGTGCTTAAAGTGCCGTGCAAACTAAGCACAGGAAAGTTAGCGGAGTTTCCGTTTCACCTCCATTAGCCGCACACTGAACACCTAAGAGCAGCCTAGAAACCTAGTCTGGTTGAAGTCATTTTCTATCTCAGCCCCCACCCGGAAATCCAAAACTGACAATGGATCCTTACCTTACAAAGCCAGCTCTTGCCCCTGGAGACAAGGTTGGGAGGCCCCAGGGAGCTAAATGCAGGAAGGTCCACCTCACCAGCACTGGAGGGACCCCAGAGAAGACGCCCTTGTGGAGCTGCAGGAGTAGAAAAACTTTAAGTTTGGCCTAAATGCTAGCTGGGGTGGGTAGCAAAAGGTGATTTGCCCTCTTGGGAACATGGACAAGTCCTGTTCTAATTCAGTGGCTTTGGTTGTGCCCTCTTCTACCCAGGAGGCTGAACTCCAGGAATCTCTGGTCACTCATTGACAGGGCTAGCATTTCCACCCCCTGGAGGGGGCATGGCCTGAAGCTTGAGCTGAAAACAGCCAGGCAGTGGACAAGAAGGGGGGTATAGCTCAGTAGTAGGGTGTTTGCTTAGCAAGCATGAGGCCCTGGGTTCAATCCCTGGTACAGAAAGGGGAGAGAGGGATATTGCACCTCAGTCTAGCTAACTGAGGTGGACAATCAGGCTCCAGCATACACTGTGGGTACCGGAAAACTCCAGGAATATGTGTGTGTGTCTCAGAACAAGCCTCTTAACCTTCCTATCTGCATACTGTTTGAAGGCTAGTCTTCATGAGGCAGATAGCAACAGTAATTTTCAGTCTATTCTAGTTTGTAAAAAAAAGCAAAGAACCAAAACTGTTGTATTCTATATGCCAAAACCCAGCATTTGAGGAGAGGCTCGAATTGGGGCTCCTCAGACTTTCCACTATGTTCCACAACCCCCACCTCTTTACCCACTTGGTCAGGAGGAATTTCAAGGAATAATCGAGAGAGCTCCAGAGGCAGCTGATGCTGAGGCAGAAGGTGGAGACAGCACCTAACTGTTGTCACTGTCTCTTCTCTAGGGACCAGCTGACCCCATGATGAAGGCTCTATGCAATGTGTCCTCTCTCCCGCTGTGTCGGGTCTCTGTGTTCCCACAGTTAAAGCACTCAGGGGACTGAAGACCTACCACCCACACCCCTCCGCCCTCATCCCACTCCACATCTGGAGCCCATCAAAAAACTCAGTGCTCTCTCACAGTTACGCAAGAGGTCGAGCAGCTGGAAGCTCAGGAAGGGGGGAGGAAGAGAGAAGAAAGCAGAAAACAGCTTTCCAGGCATGCTTCAGACTTTCCGAATGAAAGCAGGGGGAGAGGGCAGAGGCTGGGTGTGGAAGGAAGGGTGGATTTTTTCAAGGCCCTCGGCACTTGGCTATGAATGTCAGGGGTGGATTTCCATATTCCTCCTGTCTCTGGCTTGGCACATTTCCCATTCTCCCTCCTCTTCAAACTGTAGTCCCTCTAGATCCAGAGATAATTATTGCTCATACCACCAGGAGTCCCTGTAGATAACCCTTCCCAGAAAGTTATCCCTTGCTGACCTCTTTGCATCCAGAACTCAGACATCAATAATGTAGGTGTGGTGGCAGCAACGATGCCAAGTAACTTCTCAGTGCATCCTACTTGGCAAAAGGCTTGAACTTCACTTCAGCAGCTGCAAAGCAGCAAAAGCTGTTTTCTCAGTTTGTCTTAGAAAAACTGCACAACCCACACTTCCACCAAATCTAACACATTGGAGTAGGAAATTTGGGTAGGAAAAACTGGCCGTCTACCTCTGTGGCTCATGATCTTTTTATGAGCTGAAGAGAACAAGCATCCAGGTCCGGGGGTACAGTTCAGTGGTTGTGTGTGCCACTTAGCATGCGCAGCCACCACTACCCATGCTAATCACTTGGCCCCCATCTTGCACAGTGAGGCTTTCCTTTTGGTGGATGGGAGGGGTGGTTTAAGCTTCTAAAAACTGCCTAGCGAAAGAGGGAAAACAGCCTGCCTAGGAAAGGTACTCCTAATTTTGGAAACGGCTTCCCTCATATCAACTCACTACCTCTCCAGGTAAAATGGGAGACACACTAGTAGGCGTGGGTAACAGCGATGCACACCAACGGACCTACTTGTGAATCTCAATAGGAGTTCCAAGCTGCACATGTATTTACCAAAGAGGGCAAAAAGAGGGACTGGAAGGTTGTGTTTAGAAGTGCACTAAAATGGAATTAATTCTGAGTTTTTGCTTTGAGATGCCTCAAGCCCATTCTCTTTTTCATTTTTATCAGTACCAGGGATCAAACTCACGACCGCCTGCTTGTAAGGCAGGTGCTTATGCCGCTGAGCTAAATCCCCAGCCCTGCCCATTCTCTATTCCACTCTACAGACCCATGTTATTACTTGTAGTTAACACTTGTCTAGCTTGCAAAAAAACTTAATAAACAAGTAGACATTCCTTTTAGATTTTTTTTTTTTGTCTTTTTTTAAGACAGGGTCTCTTCTATGCAGTTCAGGCTGGCTTGAGCTCACTTTGTAGCCTAGGTTGGTCTCAAACTTGCAACGATCCTCCTGCCTCAGCCTCCCAAGTGTTGGGATTACAGGAATGTGCCACCATGCCTGGTTTAGAATTTTTTTTTTTTTTTTGGTACTGGGGATTGAACTCATGTCCTCATGCTTGCCAGGCATACGCTTAAGCCACTGAGCTAAATCCCTGGCCCTAGAGTTACTTTGATGAAAACTCTCACCATCTTAAAAATAACCCCTGCCAGACATGAACCTTAGGAAGTGTATTCTGTATCAATCCTGAAAGTCTTTCAGACAGACCCTAACTTAAAAAATATACACAGGTTGGGCTGGGGCTTTAGCTCAGCAGCATAAGCACCTGCCTTGCAAGCATGCAGTCATGAGCTCAATCCTCAGTACCCTCCCCCCAAAATAGACACACACACACACACACACACACACATACACACACACACACACACATATATATATATATGTATATGCATACACAGATTGAGTTTGTAGCTATTGAATAAAAGATTGATCTTTTTAAAAAAACTTCTTAAAAATACCCAACTATCTACAGGTTGCCAACTACCTCCATGTGGGATTTATTCAGAGCAGGAACTACAGCCTTCTATTTAAACAGAATGCTTGGTCAGACCTAAGTATTTGCTAGTGTCCCTCACAAGAGAGGAACAAAAAGTTCACTTGATGCTGAAGAAGGATCACCAGCCAGTTGGGGTGTGGCGTGATTTGGTGTTCATTAGATTAAGGTTACAGCTTTGAGGCAAACCTCATTTAGCACCATTAGATGACATGCTATTTCATTAAGGGAAAAAAAACCCATCAAAACCTTGGCATTTAGTACATTTTTTGAATTTTTATTTTTTGTTATTGAGACAGGGTTTCACTATGAAGTTCAGGCTGGCCTCAAATTCGCAGCAATCCTCCTGCCTCAGGCTCCAGTGTGGGATTACAGGCATGCACCACTCGCCCCACCACCAGTGATTTCTCATTCTAGACACAATTAGGGGGAATAATTTGCCTTCCAAACAAGTTGCTTAAGTTTTTCTGAAGGTAAATAAAAACTGTAAGAAGTCTTTTCCCCAGGGCATAGTGGCACACACCTGTAACCCCAGCACTCAGGTGGCTGAGGCAGGACAATCACTGAGCTACACAGTGAATTCAGGACCAGCCTGAACTACATGACAAGACTTTTCTGAGGGAATTCCTAACAGTTCTCAAGGCATTCGTCATGCCTCCCTGGCTTACTTTTACTACCATTTGTCAAATGGGAAGGTCCCAAGATGCTGCATATGGTTACGTTTTAAAGATAACATTTTTTTTTTTTGTCTTTTTCATTTTTATCAGTACCAGGGATCGAACTCACGACTGCCTGCTTGCAAGGCAGGTACTTATTCGGCTGAGCTAAATCCCCAGCCCCTAACATTTCATTTTTGACTCTACAACTGCCCCCTACAAAATTAAGACTCCCATATTCCCCAAATCTGTGAATTCAAGAGCCACACTGTCACAAGTGAGAATGTGTATGCACAAATATAAGTACACAAGGAAACACAGAATGGAGGGAGGAAAGGCAACGATACTCTTGGATCTTGGGTAAAGTTTGTCTGTAAAAAAATCCACCTTACATCCTGGTACAGCATCCTGAATCCGTAAGCAGGCACCAAAGTGAGTCAAGAATTCAGTGGACCTTTCATTTTATAATACTCTTTATTTGATTAAAGAATCTGCCTTCTTTGTGTACAATGGAATGTTATATTCCCTACATATTTTACAGGGTTACAAAATGTCGTTTTAAATATTACCCCAAAAGTAATTTCAGGAAAAAAAGTCTCATGAAATTAAACTTGCCTTTTTAAAAATCATATGAACAAATGACTCTCAAATAAAACTGGATTAATAAGATTTCTCGCCTACTTAACTACATGATAGACTTCATAGTCTAGCCCCTTTCTCAGAAAAATTTCATGTTGAAACCAAGCTAGAGAAAAGTATTTTCCCCTGATACAGTTAGGGAAAGGGAAAGGCCAAAAATTTCTTTGGCAATCAATTCCAGCTACGGCCATTTGTGGTTGCTCTGCGCCAACACAGTGCTCTCTGCAGGCAGGACCAGGTGTCAGAATGGAGTGCTGCTCTCCACCAGTGTAAGTGCAGGAGGCCACCTGGGTCACTTGTCTCTTCTCACAGCCAGCGCCTGCAGCCTCTCGGCAACCTGTCACACTTCCTACTGATGCAATACTGGATTACAAACCAAGGCCAGGTTGGCAACGTTGTTCTCCACAAAAAAAGTAACAGATGAAAAGAAGCTGAGAAACAAATCACACCATGACACTCAACAGGTCTCACAGAGAGAGAGAGGCTGGAGGAAAATGCTGAGTTGGCTGTAAGGAAATGGGTTACATAAGTCACTCCTATAACCAATATAACAAGGGCCTACTGAGATGCTGAACTCTAGCAATAGAGGATTTCACCTGATAATTCAGGAGGGACTTAGTAAGAAGGTTCAGGATAGGACTGGCACAAATAGTTACTGAACCAGGGCCTCCAAAATCATAACCGTGTTTCTGCTAGAAAGGACCGAAGAAAGAGTGATGGGGAAGAGGGAGATGGAAACCCTAAGGAATGTGAGTGGATACAGAACTGTGGGCTACTACCTTTTAGCTCAAGTACCCAAAATGTGGAGAACTGTAGGTATGGACAGCGCTAGCAACAGACACGCTATTCCAGGGAGCCATACCCATCCTTCTCCTAGGCATCCTGAAGAGGGGGCCACGTCGTCTGAAAGCTGTTTGTCATTAATATCAGCACATGGGGACTCACAGTACTACTTTAAACTGGAAGGACAGGCCCTAGAAGGAAAACAGCTTGGCAAACAATGGAGTGATGAAGACATGGGAAAGAGAGTCGCTTTTGTCTTTTAACTTCTATGTTCCATATCCCTGAAACAGTTCACTTACATTGTCCAAAAATCAAGAACAGTTCAGAGAACCTTGTTCCAGGAAGTCACACAATGCCTATATACAGATGATCCCAGTGCCTGATTCAGTGTACGGAAAGGAAGGAAGTATGAAGGGTTATAATCTACAGAGAAAACTTTAAAAACCAAGTATGAAATACGACTGTATTTGGGGATTAAAATAAAGGAGTAACTTAGGCAAAGACAGAGGAAGTGTTTGCTGGGGCGTTCTCTGGAGAGCTTGCTTTCCTGCTGGCCGTAAAATCTGCCAAAGAAATGAGCAGCCTTTCCCTTTATGTTTGCGTCATTTCTCTGTCAAAGAATGTCTGTGTGACACTCAAACACTGGGGATGAGTTGAGGGTCCTTGCACAGGAGATGTACATTGTATCAGGAAAAAAAAAGGGTCTCCAATGGCTTGTAAATTTGGAAAAACTCTTCAGCCATTTTTTGGCTCTTCTATTAACTTGAAATTTTTCCTTTTCGGTTCTCTCTTCTTGGTATTACAGGATTTCATACTTATCCACCAGGAAAGTGGTCTCTGTGGAAAACCTGACCGGACTGTTTCCATCTACCTGGGTCACTTTGGTAACCTGGAAAAATAAACAAAAAAATGGTAAAGCAAAAGGTTGAGTCCACACCATGTTTAAATTCTCATTACAGAATAAATCAAATTCTCTAAAAACAGTATTAAACACAGCTTATAAATAATAATGAAGTGTTCAATGCACAACTGTAGCTCACAGACATCAGTTTCCCCATCAACAAGACTAATCTGATCTCTACATGAAGGACGGACAGAGGTCATAAGTACAAGGGGGGGGGGGGGACGACGACGACGACACGTGGAGTACTATTCACAGCAAACAAGAACTCCAGAGCAGTCACAGCCCAACTCTGCCTTCTAAAACCAATGAAAATCAGAGATTCTATCAGAATAATCAGTCTTGACTCTTCCGTATTATTCACTGGATCTGCTCTCAAATTTCCCTGTGCTGAAGAGTCCACTAAGCTACTCTACCATACTGATTTCTGGGCTTGGCTATGTCTTTTTAACTCTTCTTCTTTTTTTTTTTTTTTTTTTTTGTCTTTTTCCTTTTCATCGGTACCAGGGATCGAACTCACGACTGCCTGCTTGCAAGGCAGGTGCTTATGCCACTGAGCTGAATCCCCAGCCCTATGGCTGTGTCTTTTTAAAGAGATTTTTTCTAAAAAAATTTTTTCCTTTTTTGGTCTTTTTTTTTTTTTGAAACAGGGTCTCACTGTGCTGTTCAGGCAGGCCTTGAACTCACTTTGTAGCCCAGAAGACCTTGAATCCCAAGTTCTCGGATTACATTTCTGGCCATCATGCCTGGCCTTCTAACAATGAATTTTGAGTATAATTAATTACTTAGAATAATAGTACCTGTAATGGCCTGAACCATGAACCACTGGTTAACATTTTCTTTCTTTCTTTTTTTTTTTTTGGTCTTTTTCATTTTTATCAGTGCTGGGATTGAACTCACGACCGCCTGCTTGCAAGGCAGGTGCTTATGCCGCTGAGCTAAACCCCCAGCCCCGGTTAATATTTTCTCTGAGGGGATCAATCTCACAACCTCGTGCTTGCCAGGCAAGCACTTGTGCTGCTGACTTATATCCCCAGTCCGAATTCTATGAGGTTGTTAGTAATTGTACTGTCCTAACTGCTGAATGGTCCCAAACAGGCAAAATGTACCCATTTCTATATAATGTCTTAGGGTTAGTAGTCTCTCTCTACTGATGGGACTATGTCACTGAGAAAGGGAAAAAACTGCTCTTTGGAATCAACCAATCACCAGGGTGAGACAGTACCAAGTAACAAGCACATCAAAGAGGAAATGATACAACTAAAGTCAGGCATGATGGCGAACACCTGTAATCCCAGCATTTGGGTGCCTGAGGCAGGAGGATTACTTTGAGTTCAAGGCCAGCCTGGGCTACAAAGTGAGTTCAAGGCCAGCTTGAATTCCACAGTGAGACCCTGTCTCAAAAAAGATGAGGGAAAAAAATTAATAATAAGGGCGGGGATATAGCTCAATGGCACAGCGCCTGTCTGGCAAGTGTGAGGTCGTGAGTTTGATTCCCAGCACCTCCAAAAAGTAAAAAATAATAACAACTAGGTCCCAGTAATGTAGTTTGCTTTGTTTCATCTATTTCACTGAAAGATAAGGTTTGTCATTGAAGCGGCTCATGATAATTTGTACCAATGAATGCAGCTGAGCCATAATTCAAAAATTATTTACATTACTTTAGATTCCTCCCCTGTAAATCCATCTTCCTTCCCCCTTCCTCCTCCTCTCCCTTCCTTCCAACTGAATACAAGGCTTCATTCACCTTACATAAGCTAGGCAAGTACTCTGTCAAAGAGTTACATCTAATCCCACCACACTGCGTTTTTTTCTTTTAGATATGCTAATTTTTAAACTTGCAATCTTTTTGCCTCAGCCTCCCTCAGTAGCTTCGATAACAAGTATGTGCCGCCACTGAATCCAGCAGTAATTTTGTCTTCTAAATTGAAAAAATTCTTTCATTCCTTGGGCACAAATTAAGTGATAAGGCATTAAAAAAGCATGTGGTTGGATAGATAGACAACTGGGGTAGGGGGAATAAAAATGATCAAAATGCAATATGTATATGTACCAATTCATCAAGATGAATGTCGTTACTGTATGTCTCAAACATATACTGATAAAAAAAATAATAATAATAAAACAAAACAAAACAAAACATATACTGATAAGCCAGGCATGGTGGTATACACATGTAATCATAGCACTTGGGAGGCTGAGGCAGTAGGGTCACCACAAATTTGAGGCCATCCTGGGCTATGTATGTTTAAAGCCCAAACTGAACTACCTAGTGAGACCTTGTCTCAAAAAAACACTCAAAATCCCCAATACATTTACTGATTTAAAAAAAAAAAAAAAATCTTAGGAAAGAAATTAAGAGAACACTCTCCAATAATAAAATAATGTTTTAGTAAATGAATTTTAAAATACATGGGATTTTTAAAAAAATAGACAATTTTTATTTTTTGGTACGGGGGATCAAACTCATGACCTTGAGCTTGTCAGACAGTCACCTATACCACTGAGTCAAATCCTTGCCCCCCCATAGGTAACTTTTAAAAAAAGAAAAAAAGAGAGACACTGAGTCAGGCATGGTAACAAATATCTATAATCCTAGCTACTCAGAAGGCTGAAAGAGAAGGACTGTCAGCTCAAGGTCAGCCTGGGAAATTTAGTGAAAACCTATCTCAAAAATAAAAAGGAGGGCTGGAGATTTAGCTCAGCGCCATACTCGCCTGCCTTGCAAGCACACAGTCTTGAGTTCAATCCCCAGTACTTATAAAAAAATAAAAAATAAAAAGGGCTGTGGATAGTGATATAATATTTGCCTACCATGCACAAGATCCTGGTTAAACCCTTGGTACCAAAACTAAAATAAAATAAAATAACGTAACATAAAATAACTAAAGACGGGGCTGGGGATTTAGTTCAGCGGCATAAGCGTCTGCCTTGCAAGCAGGCAGTCATGAGTTCGATCCCCGGTACCGATAAAAAGGAAAAAGACAAAAAAACCCACCAAAAAACAAACAAACAAAAAAAAAACCCTAAAGACAATACCTATGTGTCCACAAATACCTTGATATACATTGTTTTTTGAGGGTCTTGCTATGTAGTCCAGGCTGGCCTTTAACTTTTTTTTTGTTTGTTTGGTTTTTTTTTGTCTTTTTCCTTTTTATCGGAACCGGGGATCGAACCCACGACTGCCTGCTTACAAGGCAGGTGCTTTTATGCCGCTGAGCTAAATCTCCAGCCCCTGGCCTTTAACGTGTGATCCTTCTGCCTCAGCCTCTCACATCCTTGGATATAGATGTGTATCACTACACTTGGCCTCTATTTATTTTAAACTTTGTCTGCTCTAAGGAAGAAATCTGAGGTTCAACAGGTGATGAATTTGACCAAATCATGAGTCACGTATGGAATCCTTTTTGATAATTTCTGCTGTGATATGAAATTAAGCTCCTATCAGGCACTGATTCTTTGCTTTCCTCACATACCCACTCCATTAGAACAGAGTACCTGTATGTTACAGTAATTCTTTTTGGAGATGAAGGAAACTTGAACAGGGAAGAAGTCGTTGGGCTGCCCAGCAATACTAAACTCCAGGCTGCCACTCTTATTTTTGGCATCAATCACTGGCAGGCACCATTCCAAGGTATTTCGCCGACTGTCATGTCGATATTCCCCATCGATCTCACCAATCACAGGAGCACCAACACCCGACCTGTCGTGAAAAGCATCCAGTCAAGTTAGTTGTCCAGAGCTCAAAGAAATTCAACAAGGAAAACCAACCCCAAATTTAACTATGCTACTCAAATCTGGCCTTTTTTATGCAGACCTAGAGAAAATTAGCACAATTTATCATCAAGGATCAAACTAAGTCCTAGCACCTTAGCTATGGATATCACTCAATGGCCTTTGTAGACACAGTACAGTAAAAACAGGCACTACATCTGGCAGATGGGGCTAGAGGCCACTTAAAGTTATGGACTGCAAATGTCTGAAGGGGGCTATGTTTCAAAAATTCTGCACCAGGGCTAGGGATAGTGGCACAGCATCTGCCTGGCAAGGGCAAGGTCCTGAGTTTGATTTCTAGGACCAAAAAAAATAAAAAAAGAATTAGGTCTGTGAAAGAATTTTTTTTTTTTTTTTTTTTTGAGAATTCTACCACTAAACCAGCCATGTACATTCATTTATTTATTTTTGCTTTTTTGAAGACAGAATCTTGCTATGCAGTTCAGGTTAGCCTAGAACACACTTTCTAGCCCAGGCTGGCCTTAAACTCACAGCAATCCTCCTGCCTCAGCCTCCCAAGTGCTGGGATTATAGGCATGCGCTACCATCCCAACAGGACTTGTTTTTAAAAGAGTTAAAAATGTTTACATCTAACTGAAGCTGAGGCTGCCAGTAGGTTTATTCATAATCCAATAACTGTACTTTTGTTTGCTAAAGGCATAATCACACTTGCACAAAATGAAACATGATGGGATAGAGACACAGAGCTGCCTTTAGCCTGCAAAAAATTCATGGCTACTTAGGATGTTCTTTGTACTACCACATGTGGCTGAGAGGCAGTCAACTAGTCCTTCCTACACATTCTAAATTTGCTGTCTTTTAATTCATGGGTGACAATGCTTGCATTAGGACAGGATAAATAAGAGAGCCAAAGAAAATGTTAGGAGTGGCATTAAACTATTAACCCTCCACTATCCATTTTATAGTCTTGCTTCTTTTATGTTCCATCTTTGGGCCCTGCTCCATTCCAATTGTGATCTCTTCTAATTTCATCAGTTCTTAACACATAGTAAAATGTCTAAGGGCTTCTCCGGGAGACCAGTGCAAAACTGAACCAAGACACAGGAAACTACTATAACCACAATCATAGGGTTGACAGAGATGCCTAAAAAATGTGACATCCTAAAAATAACCTAGTAAAATAAATCTTGACAAACAAAGCCCCCATCTATCACCAATGCTCAAATCCTACACTGGTTCAAGGCAATCAACTATTGTTCTGAAAAAATAACTAACACGTGAAGAACAAGATGGTTACCCTAATTAAAGGGATACTGGTAATAAAACAGACAGTATTTTTAAAATACAGATGTAAGGAGGTGGTAGAGCACTTGCTTAGCATATGTAAGGCCCTGGGTTCTACCCATAGCACTATTTGCATACACACAAATATAAAAGAATATCTTTTTTTTTTTTTTTTTTGCACAGAAGTTACTGGAAATAAATCTGGGGGGATGACAGGCATTTTTGTTGTGCTGATGATTTCACAGGTTCACACATGGCAAAATTTAGCACACTGTACAATTTAAATACATATAGTGTTTATTATAAGTCAATTATACCTTAGCAAAGCTGTAGAAAATGTACTCAAACTAATGTAGGTTTCAGCAAGAATTAAAAGTTCCACTGAACACATTATCATTTTTAATGTGGTTTTTTGGTCGTTTTATTTGTTTTTTGAGACAGGATCTTACTACATAGTTTAGGCTAGCCTTGAACTCACTATGTAGTCTAGGCTGGCCTCAAACTTATGGCAACCCTCCTGCCTCATCCCACAATGTGCTGAGATTGGGCTGGGGATACAGCTCAGCAGCACAAGTACCTGCCTGGCCAAGTGCAAGGTTGTGAACTTGATCCCTGGTACCAAAAAAGTAAATAAACAAGCAAACAAGCAAAAACCCAAAAAACAAAACAACAGCAAAAACATGCACCACCATACCCAGCATCTCTTTTAATAAATTTATTTATGTTTCTTTTTTGGTGTAAGGGATCGGACCCAGAGCTTTATGCACACAAAACAAGAGCTCTACCACTAAGTCACATCCCCAGTGACTGGGTTTTTTTTTTTTTTTTTTTTTTTTTTTTTGCTTTTTTGAAACAGGGTCTCTATGCAGTTCAGGCTGGCCCTGAGCTCACTTTGTGGCCCAGGCTGGTCCTGAACTCAAAATGATCCTCCTGCCTCAGCCTCCCAAGTGCTGGGATTACAGGTGTGAGCCACACACCCAGCCCCAGTGACTTTTAATAAACTTAGCAAGTAAAAAAGAAAAATTCGATCTGGTGGACTCAATTTCTTTGAAAGTTGAAAAAAAAGGGAAATTTGAAAAGTAGCTCCTCCTTCTGGAAATCTTCATTACTACATGAACAAGACAAAGATTACATGTGCATCTGAAATTACCTCCACAACTAGAACCTTTTTGTTTAGCTTGGGTTGAAAATTAATAAAATCTACCCCCTTTAAAGTATATATAGAGCACCTGCCTTGCAAGCAGGCAGTCGTGAGTTCGATCCCTGGTACTGATAAAAAACGAAAAGGACCAAAAATAAATAAATAAATAAAATAAAGTATATATAGAGCTCAATGCATTCTGACAAATACATGAAGTCCTATAAATACCACTGTGTTGGTTACTTCCTCTCATTGCTGAGACAAAATTTTGAGTGTCAGGAATCTGACACTCAAAATTAAGGAAGGAAAGGTTTATTTAGCTCACAACTTGTGGAAATTTCAGTTCATACTTGGCTGGCTCCAAGGCAGAGGGCAACAGTTGATAGTAGTGGAAAACAAAGCAATAAGAACAAAAGAGAGGAACAAGAAAGAAGACTATTTCTGTCCCTTATACACAGGTTACTGACCCAAGGCAGGTGTAGCACTCACACCCATAATCCCAGCATGGACCATGGATCACAAACTCTAGAAGCCCGCCCCCATGACTGCATGAGACTTTGGGGTAACAACCATTATAACCAGTCCACACATTTCTATCCTCTCTCAAGTTCCCTTTTACCCCTTTGTAGTGAAGTACCTGCTTCTTTATGTCTTGATTTCTGTTTCAAGAGCATTACCTTTTCCAGAAAGCCATAGAAGTAGAATTATATAGTAGATAGCCTTATGGATTCTTAATAGTCTTTTTTTTTTTTCTTAATAGTCTTTTAAAGAAATGTCTTAGAATGGATAGACAACGAGGTGCTTCCAAAAGACCAGAGTTCTATGTCAGCATAGAAATGATGATGGGACACCACTTACGGAAGTGGGATGGTGATAACCACGTCATTCAGCTCTAAATTATCTTCCTGTAGCTCATACTCTATGTTGACATCACAGCCATTTCCACTTTCTGAGGGCCAGCAATTAACTGAGGAGAAAAGAAAAGCAGTTATACTAAAACATTAAGGAAAGAGTGGATTCACTTCTTGGCCTTTTGGCTAGGTCAAGAGTGGGAAAGTTACAGTGGCAAATTTAAGTTGACCGATAACTGCAGGCTTAGGACATCTTAATATAAACTATACTTAAAATAACACTTTGCTGGGAGTGGTGGCACATGCCTGTAATCTCAGGACTCTCAGAAGGCTGAGGCAAAAAGACTGCCAAACTAAATAATAAGACCTTGTTTCTCTCCTTCTCTGTCTCTCTCTCTCTCTCTCTCCACCCCTCCTCTGGCGTGCATGCGCGCACACACAGAGCAAAAAAAAAAAAATTAAAGCAAATGACTACAACATAAAACATAGCAATAACACCAAGTTCTTTTCTTTTGCAACACTGGGGACTGAATGCAGGGCATTCACAGTGAGCTGAAGTCTCAGCCTTCTTTTTATTGTTTATTTTGACACTGGGTCCCATTAAATTGCCCAGGCTCCACTTTTAAATTGCAATCCTCCTGCCACTGCTTCCCAGAGTGCTAAGATTACAGGTGTGTCAGACAATATCCAGCTCCAAATTCACCTGAAGGACATTTACACAAAAACAACTTTGCTATAGCAATGAAGATAGACGCACACAATCCAGGGCCGTTTCTACTTCTCAGTGTCGATCAGCTCAGTGGAAATGGCCAGAGGCACTTACTTGTCAGTGGAATAAAAGATTCCTCTGTGGTTTGTAGTCTCCACTTTAGCACCCCTACATCACTGTTGACTGGAAATGACTTTTCTGGATTCTTTAAGCCAATCAGGGACTCTGAAGTGAAAAGTTTTTTATCCACATTTGGATGGGTCTATAATGAGAAGACAAGGAAAAATGAGATTCAGAAATGGTAAGATAAAAAATAACCCTCTGTGGGCTTTCATACCCTATGGGCTAAACATCTAAAATAGGGTATCTATAAAAAAAAATAAATAAAATAAATAAATAAATAAATAAATAAAATAAAATAAAATAGGGTATCTAATAAATCCCTTCCCTTTTTCACCACTGGAGATTAAACCCAGGGCACAATTGTTAGGCAAATGCACTACAAGTAGACCTCTTCACCTTTTCAGACAGGGTCTCACTATAGTTCAGCATGGCCTGGAACTCATATGTAGCCAAGGCTGGCCTTGAACTTTCTGTAATTCTCCTGCCTCAGTCTCCCAAGTGCTGGGATTACAGGTTTGTGCCACCCTGCCTGGCCCCAACTAAATTTTTAATTACTATATTTTATGTCTTTAAAGTAGGAAAATCTCTCCTAAAAAATTAAAAATGGCCAGGAAAACTGCTGTGAATTTGAGACACAGAGCCTATTTCCAAAAAAAAAAAAAAAGAAAGAAGAAGAAGGTAGCTGGCCACAGTTGGCCAAAGGTACAGGCCACATGCCTGTAATCCCAGCACTGAGAAGGCAGAGGAGGGAGGATTACCAGAATTCTCTTTGTTTTGTTTTTGTACTGGGAATCAAATCCAAAACCTTGCACTTGCCAGTTAGGCTGGCTGATAACCATGAATTTGAGGCCATCCTGAACTACATATCAAGTCTGTTTAAAAAAAAAAGACCAATAGTCAGGTTCTTTCCAAGAGTAATACAGCAGTGATGGCCTTATATAAGTAGGCAAGGAAAAAATTCTTCAAACTCAGTCCAACTAAGAATAAAGTAGAAACTTTTTTTTTAGTATTTTGGCTTTAGGGGCTGGGGATTTTGCTCAGCGGCATAAATGCCTGCCTGGCAAGTTCGAGGTTGTGAGTTCGATCCCCAGTATCAAAATAAATATCTTGGCTTTTAAGGCAAGAAGTTTACTATGTAGCTCAGGCTGGCCTTGAACTCATAGACCTCCTGCCTCAGCCTCCTAAATGCTGGAATTATAAATATGTGCTACCATGTTCAATTCTAGTCTTTTTTAGAAAAAACTGTGGCACCGCCTATGATACCTGTGAATCCAGTAATTCTGAAAGCTGAGGCAGGAGGACACAAATTCAAGGCCAGTCTGAGCAACTGTGTGAGAACTGTCTCAAAATTAAAAACAGCTGAGATGTAATTCAGTGTGAAAATACTTGCACAGGATATATGAGATTCTGGGTTCCACTTCTAGTAGTGCCACCAAAAAGTAAAAAGTAAAAAAGTCTACTATCGGGAAAACAGAAAAAAAAGTCACTTTTGTATAGCAGTCTATGTATACGGTAACAGCCAGCAAGCAGTTGTTAAATAATATAAGCACTGTTTCCAAAAGACAAGTCAGGGAGGCCAGGTGCACATGTCTGCAATCCCAGCTCTTATGAGGCAGCAACAGAAGGATCACTGTGAGTTCAAAGCCAGCTGAGGCTACAGAGTGAGGTCAAGGTCAGCCTGCATAGTAAAACTGTCTCAAAAAGACTAAATACATCAAGAAATAACAAAAAATAAAGACAAGTCAATACTGATTCTGGGGAAAGGCAAAAAACTCTTCCCTGAAAATGCTTTGTACTTGTGACAGCAGACATTAAGATCAACCATCTAAATGACACCAGAAAAACTAACAAAGATAAAAATGGCTCCAATTCATGTAACAGCTGGAACATACAGATTTTGTAATGATTTTATGAGCTGTTCAAATGTACCACTAGATATTGCCATTTAGTTAATAAGCACTGGTATTTTATAAAGGGTGAAATTTAATATGTTATTAAATCATAAAACCTTCAGTGGGTGTAAGTGCCTGCCTGACATGTGCAAAGTTGTGAGTTTGATCCCCAGTACCAAAACCAAAACAAAACAAAACAAAACAAACAAAAAAAAACGACAGGGGTTTGTGTGTATTTTTTAACAGTGATGAGATTAAATCTAGGGCTTTTCACAGGTTAGGCAAGAGCTTTACAACTAAGATATAACCTCAGCTCTCAAATCTTAGATTTTTTTGTGTGTTTTTATGTTTTTGTAATAATGGGATCAACACTGGAGATGCTCTACCACTGAACTAGATCCCCAATCCTTTTACTTTTTTATTTTAAAACAGATCCTTACTAAATTGCCAAGGGCTTGAATTAGCAATCCTCTTGATTCAGTTTCTCAGGGAACTAGGATTACAGGCATGTGTCATCACACTTGTATCATAACACTTTGGGAAACTCAGGCAGGATGATCACAAATTTGAACCCAGGGCCAGGAATGTAGCTCAGTGGCATAAGCACCTTCTGGCAAGCACAAGATCCTGAGGTTGATTCCCAGTACCACAAAAACAAAAAACAAATAAAAACCAAATATGAACCCAACCTGGCAGTGAGGAAATTTACTAGTGAGACTGTGTCATAAACAAACAATAAAAAAGAGCTGGGAACATTGCTCAGAGCAAAGGCTCCGGGTTCAATCCTCAGTGTTGCAAAAAATAAATTTAAAACAGCTGCTGTCAGTCCATCATTCTCATTAGCTACAATATGTAAAAAGTTAACTTCTTTCCTATGCATCTAGATTTATTGGAATGTTACTAGATATGGTTTTTTTTTTTTTTTTTGGTTTTTTGTTTTTTGAGACAGGGTCTCACTAGTTCAGACTGGCCTGGACAATGTAGCTCAGGCTGGCCTTGAATTGGCAGCAATCCTCTTACCTCAGCCTCCCAAGTGCTGGGATTACAGGCATGCACCACCACGCCCCGCCTATCACTAGCTATATAAATTAAACAATGCTCTATGTTCTGTCATTCAGCTGAGGAACTCCAGTTGAGAGAGATTTTGTCAGGGTGTCAGGGGTACAGCTCAGTGGTAGAGCATTGGCCTCACAGGTGTGAGGCCCTGGGTTCAATTTGCCACACTCAGCCACACACAAAAGGATATACAAGGTAAATAAAAGTCTAAATACACACTTGTAGCTGCACCCCTTTCTTATCTTCATTTTCTACATGAAGACGAATTCGGCCAAATTTGTCATCTGAGATCCTAAGCATGATCATGCCATGCAACTCCATATTCTGTAGTCCTCCGTCTCGTCCACAGGTTAGTGTGATCTTTTCTTCGATCTTCATATGCACACTGTATACAGAAAAAAATTTGTTTATAAGGTAGAAACCAGAATTTTCTTTTCCTAAGGTATAATAGTGATTAGCTATCAACAACTCCTTCAGAGTGCTGATGCATTATACTCTCTCATGCAGTTGTTCTAGAACTTATCCTCTATTCTTACCTGTGAAAACAATAGACCAAGTCATTTACTGAAGAATTTTTTTGAAATGGCAAGTATAGCTGCTTACATGTATAAAGGTATGTCCACACAATTAAGTACTAGACAGCTGTGAGAAAATTTTAACTTTCTATTTGAAAATATCAAACTTAAAAAATAAGAATTACACAAAAAATACACATAGGGATGTCCTTTTATATAAGCACAGTACCATTATAAACTTTACAACTTTACATTAATATTATACTTTATTCGATCTACTGTCTGCCAGTTTTGTCAGTTGATCTAATAAGGTCTTATAGTAGTACAGGATCCAATTTAGAGTAAGTTACTACTTTTTATTTAATTTTTCTTTCTATGGCACTGGGGATTGAACCCAGGGTTTTCCCACTCAACTACATTCAGTCTGTTTCTTAATTTGAGGCAAGATCTTGCTAAATCGCTAAGCTGCCCAGGTTGGACTCAAATTTATAATCATCCTGTCCCAGCCCCCCAGGTACAAGGATTACAGGCATGTGCTACCACACTTGGCTGAGGTTAAGGTATTACATTTAGACAGATGTCACAGCTTTACAGCTTCAAATAAGGAACTTGTCTTTTTTATGGTTTTGGGGACTCTACACTGAGCTACTCCCCAGTCCTCAAATGGGAGACCTGCCTCTAAATTAAGGAAAATGGGATAGACAGAGAGATGAGGAGGAGAGGGAAAGTAGAAAAAATTAAGATGTAATATATATATATGTACCACCTCTTCAGGAGGAATGTAATCATTATGTACTGCAAATAAGTACTCATAAAAAATTTAAAAATTAAACTAAAAAAACAAAAATGAAAAAATGTACCTAGTATGCTGCTTTGTATTTAAAAAAATTAATAGCTCAGAGTGCAAGATTCAGTACTATAAAAAAAAAAGACTTTCACTCACACATTATAAACTATCCATCGGAAAGGATATACACACAAGAAAATTATTTAATATTGGCTTCACAACTAAAACCTTGCATGACTAGGTGGGACATAGAATTTTGTACAGTAATGCATTTAAACCTTTTAATTTTATATTACAGGAATACAGAATAAGGAAAAAAGCAAAAAAGTGCTGCTTTGAGCAATTAAGTATAATCTATCTGTAATCTGTAACAGAACTTTTTTTTGTCTTTTTGTGACAAGGTTTCCCTATCCTTGAACTCACTTTGCAGTCCAGGCTGGCCTCAAACTCAGTGATCCTCCTGACTCAGCCTCCCAAGTGCTGGGACTATAGGGGTGCGCCACCATTCCTGGCTTGTAACAGAATTATTTTTGTCGGGGTGGATGACAGAAGCTACAAAAAATACTTGGTCTCTCACTTCATTTACGCTCTGTATTAATTTAAGTGTCCACAGAAACAAACATTACAATTAAGATCACAAAGGCCTCTAAAAGCAATGCACGTCCTACTTTACTTTCATAAAAGTTTTCTCTATGCTCAAGGGTACCTCAATTAGAAAGAGTCTCCAAGTTCTAAAATGTAACGGTCTTTAACATTTGTTTAAAAATATGAAGCTTCTATCTCACTAAATGCAGCCACTAGGAATAGCATAGGAACTTACAGAATCAAAGACTGTGTACTTCATACAAAATAGGACACATAAAGACTAAACACTATCCTTTCATACACACCCAAAAGAGGTATCATCCCAGACTCATCTTTCACTTGACCTCAACCATCAGACAGAGAAGAAGGCCTGGCTTCAAGCCAGGAAATCTGAGTCATGAATATGTGAACTTGATTATCACTCAAAAATGTTACCACCCAATGCCTCAGTCCTGAGATAGAGATATTGGGCTCAAACATTTAAAAATAAAAATATGTTAATTTGCTACTAAAAATATTTACCTTTTTTCTCTTCTTATAGTTTAATTAGAAAAAGACATTTAAAAAGGTAAAATATAGTGTGGAACTATCAAGATTTAGTCCTGTAATCCAAGTGCATTTTAAGAGACAAACTCAAAAAAATGTCATTTCCATACCTTCTCCCCAAAATGAGACAAGCTACACACTAGAAACGCATATAAGTTATTTCTGGGGGGCTGGGGATTAAAAAAAAAAATAAGTTATTTCTGTTTAATTTAGCAAAGGGGCTGAGGACTAGGAAGTATGAGGTCCTAAATTCATTCCTGGTACTTCTAAAAAATAGTAATAATAATTTAGCCAATATAAGTTCTAAAATTCAAAAATAGATGGCTGAGAACACCCCATTACAGTTAAAGAAAAAGAAAAAACACGTTATGCTATTAACTACAATATGCTCTGAATAAAGTTTTTTTTTTTTTGTACCAGGGATCAAATTTACAACCTCACTATGCCGCTGAGCTGAATCCCCGGCCTGTTTTTTGGTTTTTTTTTTTTTGGTCTTTTTGACATAGGGTCTCACTATGCAGCTCAGCATGGGCTTGAGCTCGCTTTGTAGCCCAAGTTAGTCTTGAACTCAAACTCGCAATGATCCTCCTGGCTCAGCCTCCCAGCGCTTGGATTATAGGCTTGTGCCAGCACACCTGGCAAGTAAACCTTTCAAATTAGCAAAGATTAAAAGGCACAAAAGATGAAGGGGGGACCACAGCTCAGTGGCAGATGATGTGCTTGTGTTTGCCCAAAGCCCTGGGTTTGATCCCCAGCACAAAACGAACACACACTACTACAAAAAGAATTTTTGCAATTGAAATAAAATTTTTAAAAACTTGTATAATCTGTCCTTACCAAAAAAGTCATCCCTTACCTCTCCATATTAATGGGTGGAGCATGAACTTTGGTTGTCTCAGAGGTACGTCTGCCCATATTAGAGGACATGATAGTTTCGCCTTCAGATTTCAGTTTATCCACAAAGTTATCTACTTCTTTTCCTTTGGCTCCAAGTTTCAAAGCCTTGCTGGGGCCTGAAGGCCTGTGTGGAAGAATACAAAATTTTAAAAATTCACAATAAAACAAAATGACCAAAACATTTATCACTGATCCCATTGCAAGGCTTTAAAGAGGAATGTGAAGATAACAAGAGAAAAACCCACGCTTTCTAGTACTGCTGAACAACTAGACGACTGATGGCCTAATAGCAACCTGTCCTTATTCATATATAAGCTTCAGGAAACCAAGATCAAATGTACACTGTCATAGTCACACATGATATGATGAAAACTCTGTACCTTCCATCCAGATAAATATAACTGAACAAAATATAACTGAATAAAATATTCTACATAATTTTATGTAGCTCAGATTCCCCTTGAATATTAAGATTTAAATATCCAAAATCCATCAACAATTAAATATTTCCTCCCTTTCCCAAATGAGGCAACTCCATAGGAAAGTGAGGTCATGATATAATTTGTAAAATTATGTGAAAGGAAAAATACCACATTCAGATATGCATGCTCCCCCTTTTGCAACAGGGCCTCCCTAAAATGCCCAGGCAGGGCTAGTGATTCTCCTGCTTCAGCCTCCCAAGTACTGTAATTATAGATAAACACCACATCTTCCCCTAACCTCCAATTTTTTTTGGCAGGAGGCAGTACTGCAGATTGAACCTGGGTGTCTGTACTGAGCTACATATCCAGTTCTTGAGACAGGATTTCACTAAGTCACTAAAATACCCAGACTGGGCTCCAACTTGCAATCCTGCTACCTCAGCCTCTCAGAGGGCTAGGATGACAAATGTGCAACTAGCACATAAAAAGCTTCCTTAGCTTTTTATTTCCTTTTTTGGTTTATTGAAATAGGGTCTTACTAGAGTTTAGGCTGGCCTTGAACTTGCAGTGATCCTCCTGCCTCAACATCCGAAGTCAAAGATCCATATCACTATGTCTGCCTCCAGATCTTTTTATTTTAAATTGCCCAGGCAAGACTCAAACTTGTGACCCTCCTACCATAGCCTCCCAAGTGGTGGGGTTACCGGCATGTATCACCACAGCTGTCTTGGCCCCACATTTGTTTTTGTTTTTTTTAGTACCAGGGATTGAACTCATGACCTCACATTTACCAGGCAAGTGCCAGAACCACTGAGCTAAATCCCTGGCCTGACCCCACATTTTAAGCAGTCAAATTTATTATCACATCTGACTTTATCAAGTCACTCATTATTTATAGCTTGCCTAGAAATCAGGTGTCACTCCAAAGATCCACACATGCAGCTTTCCTCTGTTATTCTAGGGGTTGCTTGTAAAACACTGGGTTATACCTGGCTGGTGCAGGTGCCACTTTTGGTTTATCAGTTTCAATGATGGTCTCTGTGATCATGGCAGCTGTGCTGCCTCCAGAAACTGCAGAACTACCAAATCCCCCAAATCCTGGTGCTTTTTTGCCCTGTCTCTCTGCATCTCTTCGGGCCTGCTGTAATTCTTTTGCTTTACGCCGCATCTCAGCCTTGGCTTCACGTTCTTGAGTCTGTAGAAAGACACACATGATGTAGCTTTGAGTACAGGCAGTCTACATTAGCAAGTAAAAACAAGAAAATCAATTATTGAAGGATAAGAGAAAGACATTCAAGCTGCCAGTCCCAGGGAAGACCCCATTTACCTCTCTGACTGCTCTGAATACTTTCTCCTCGTGAGAATCCATTTCTGTGAAGGTCCTGATCTGTGCCAGGTTAACATTCTCCCGATATCCCAGGGCAACAATTTCATCAAAAGCAAAAATCAAATCAAAACAGTGCTCAGATATTTCATTCTCTTCTAAGGCTCGACAATATTCAGGAATCTATCCAGACAGCAATGGAAAAGAAGTTTTAGAATTTGTCAGCAGCTATGCCTCTAAGTCTTACTCTAAGCTACATAAATTTCAGTAAAATGAAATTCTCTTTTTTAGCTCGTCCTAGTATGTATGTATATATGTATCTATCTATTTATTTTTGAAAGGTCTCACTATGTAGTTTAGAGTGTCCTTAAATTTACTATGTAGCCCAGGCTGACCTCAAACTTCCAGCAATCCTCCTGATTCAGCCTCCCAAGTGGTGAGAGCACAGGCATGTGCTACCATGCTCAGCTAGTCTTTTAAGCAACACTTTGGCATAAAATCTTTGTGTTTTTGTCTGTATAAGCACAGTGCATGCTAACTCATTGTACCACTGGATTTCCATATCTGTAAGTCTAAAAAATATGAGCAGAACTACGAAAGCAAGTTAGAGTAACTAAAGAAATGGGATATGAAAAAGTAATTCCTGGGAGCTGGAGATTTAGCTCAGTGGCATAAGCACCTGCCTTGCAAGCAGGCAGTTGTGAGTTCGATCCCTATTACCGATTAAAAAAAAAAAGTAATTCCTCTATCCTCCTTCTACATACTTTAGGAGGGTACCCCATTTTGTGTGTCTGCTGAATAAGTAAGCTGAAGCAATAAGCTACAGGGTCTGAAAAGTAACAAGGAATCAGCTCCTTTAAGGAAAAACTAGTTTCATACACAAAAACATGTAAAACATTAAAAGTAGAACACATTACAGAAAGACACTTACCACTCTTGAGAAGAGTCTTAAGGTCTCCAAATCTTCTAAGATGTTGCTGTTTTTGGTAGTGATCAGCACCATGTACAGTTTCTCCATAGGCTGGTAAACATATCTTACACTCTCTGTTTCAACGAATGTATGTTGTTTTCCAGTGTTCATGAGCTTCGGAAAAGCTGCTAATAAGCCCTCAATCCGTGTTCGGGTCATTTCCACAAACTGTCGAGAAACAATAGCCTTTCCTGCTTTTGTGCAGACTGCTGCCGCCAACAGCACCTGGCAGAAACACACACATACAGTAGAAGTACTCAGCAACTACTTCTTCACAACTGTTTTCTTAACATTTCATGATATCTTCCACACACTGACATATTCAGGTATTTACTGACATGACTACTATGGGAATGTTTTTAAACTCCATTGCTTCATTAATTACAGTATAAAATTCATAAGACAAAGGTATATCAGTGGAAACTGAAGTCATTTTTTCCTGTTTCTCAATAACTTACAAAAATTTAGTAAATAAAATTTTTTTCCAAATCTACACATTCACTATTAGTAGGTATGCTATGACTCAGGAATGGGTTGCTCTCTGCTTTGACACACACAAGGACTACCTCAATTTCTCTCTAAAAAGTACAGAGATTTCCAAACAAAACAAGTTGACTGGGCAGATTAAGGTTATATAAGAAGCCAGGCCATGCCTGCCTTGCAAGCAGGCAGTCGTGAGTTCGATCCCAGGTACCGACAAAAAATGAAAAAAAAAGACAATAAATAAATAAATAAATAAAGAAGCCAGGCCATTCACAGACTACAGAGAAAGCGAACAAGACAACAAGAAACAAGTCCCCACCACACATCCATGCTATGCTCGGGCAGCTGAGGGGACAGCCAGATGCCAGCCCCCTTCAGTACACCGGTTGGAAACAAGAACCCTCCCTGTAAGTGACCGGCATCCAGAGAAACACAGGTTGCAATGATAGCTACTGAGGTAAAATACAATTTAATGCTGGTAGTGTTTAGTGTTTCACTGACTTTGCAGGTCTAAAGCCAGTACTCTGATCATCTATTCAAAGGATAATAATATGCAATGTAGCATCTATGAGGGATCTCCTTCCGAAGGTGGTAGCCATTGGTAATTCTCTATCATCTTGTTTTGAAGTCGTACCATTTTCATTGTTTTGTTGAGTTGGGTTTTATTATATCTCATGATACTGGCAGCTATTTCAAGATAACAAGATATATTACAGTAGCCATTTTGGATTTACTCTTACCTTGTTTTGAAGTCCTTTATTGCATTTATTGTTTTGTTTTTATTGGTTCTATTCTGTTCTGTTTTGATTTTTTTTTTTTTTTTTTTTGGTACCTGGGATCGAACTCATGACCTTACGTTTGTCATAGTGGCACTTATGCTGCTAAGCTAAATCCCCAGCCCTTCTGTTTTGATTTTTACTATGTCTAAAGGTATTAACAGCTATTCTGAAGACAACAAGAGGCATTATGGTAACCACTATTGATTTCCTATTGTTTTGAAGTCCTGTCTCACTTCCACTGGTTTGTTTTGATTGGCTTTCTTCTGTTTTATTTTGCTTGGTTTTATTCTCTGTAAAATTTAAAAAATTAAAATTAAAATTAAAAAAAATGAAGTCCTTAACCTTTCCTTTTTACCTAATTTTAAAAATAATAAAGGGTTGCTGACTGAAGGAAAGAAAATTAAGTACAAGAGTGTTAACATCTCTTCAGTGAAGGAATTCAAGCATTCATAAGTACAAATAAATAAATAAATAAAAGACTACACTTTTTTTGTTGTTGTTGTCTTTTTCCTTTTATCGGTACCAGGGATCAAACTCACGACTGCCTGCTTGCAAGGCAGGCGCTTATGCTGCTGAGCTAAATCCCCAGCCCCAAGACTACACATTTAGAAAGCTTTATTTTTTTTTACCGGTACCAGGGATCGAACTCACGACCACCCGCTTGCAAGGCAGGCGCTTATGCCACTGAGCTAAATCCCCAGCCCCACATTTGGGAAGTTTTAAGGCTAAGTTATAACCTCTGAAATATCAAAATCTTACGATTGGACCTCTCAACTTCACAAAAACCTATCACCTATACCTGAGAAGTTTAAAGGAAAAAAAACCTGTTAGTCAATATGAAAAAATATTCTTATAAATATTAATATAGGGGCTGGGGATTTAGCTCAGCGACATAAGCGCCTGCTTTGCAAGCAGGCAGTTGTGAGTTCGATTCCTGGTACCGATAAAAAGGAAAAAGACAAAAAAAAATTAATATAGTTTTATATGAATTACAGGGAAATGCAATGCCTTTACCATTCAAGAATAGGTAACTGAAGGCCAGGCATGGTGGTGCACATCTGTAATCCCAGCACTCGGGAGGCTGAGGCAGGAGGATCTCGGTAAGCTTAAGGCCAGCTTGGGCTACACAGCAAGTTCAAGGCCAGCCTAAACTACATAATGAGACTCTGTCTCAAAAAAAAAGTAATTGGTATTTTCAGGAGAAGCTGGCTGAGGCAAGAGAATTGCTTGAGCCCAGAAAGAATTCAGGTCAGAAAGAATTCTAGGTAACATAGCAAGATTCCAACTCAAAAAAAAAAAAAAAAAAAAAAAAAGAATACAAAACAAAAAGTGCTCATAAATCAGAAATATAATTTAAGTATTATACATTTGCTCTTTAAAAAGATCAAAAACTGTTTTAGACAGAGAAACAGATAACCTAAAAATTACTAGCTGCTTACCCTTAGAGTGGCAAACAAGCTGTCTTAGAAACTTTAAGTCATTTTTTTTGCTTTTAAAAAATGTATCTTTCACCATTACTATTTGAAAGTTTTTAGCACCACCCAGATATGAAGCAAGAAGATATACTGAGGATATAAAAGGATGCCAGAAAAAGTATCCAAATGCAAAACTCATGACCCGAATTTCTCTAAAGAAATTCTTTATTTCATGCCTCTAACTTTAATTAACAGTGTGAGCTAAAGATTTCTTCAAACAAGAACAAAATCACTTATAATGTTTAGCATACAAATAATGACCTTAATCAGGAGAAGCTGATCTAAAATTATCACCAGACTTGAATTTTATTTAGAAGATAAAACTCAAGGGACTTAAGATCTGTTAAAGCCATAGATGGTGGCACATGCCTGTAATCCTGGGACTGAGACATGCCTGGGCCATATAGCAAGTTTAAGGATGATATAAACTCTATAACAAGAGCCTCTCTCTCTCTTTAAAAACAACAAAGAAATTTGTCTTCACATTAATTTGTATCACAGGAGATTCATGTTTCTACCATCTACATATCTGGCAAAAATAAGTTAATTGATTTTTTTTTTTAATGGGGTAGCTGCTTCAGCTCTCATCGGACAAGTAGGATCTCTGTGATGGTTCACTCAAGATTCATATGCCACCTATGTCCAAATATAATGTAGCTTTTTGCGCCAAAATTATTCCTTAGAAAAGAATTGTGCCACAAAAAACACGAACATGAGCTGGATATGGTGGCACATGCCTGTGAAGGAGGCTGAAGCAGAAGGATCACTATAAATTTGAGGCCAGCCTGGACTACATAGTGAGTTTAAGGCCAGCCTGGCCTGCATAGCAAGATCATCACTCAGAACAGAAACCCCCTCAACAAACAAAAACACCAAAAACAAAATGAACGAAACCCATTATGCTAAGAAATCAGAATCAAAAGGCTGGAAATGTAGCTCAATGGTAGAGTACTTACCCAGTAAGTGCTAGATTCAGGGTTTGGTCCCTAGCATTGGAGGAGGGAGAGGAAAGTCAATAAAATCCATGAAGAAGGAATGAGATTACAGTAGTGTTTGCCAGGGCCGAGGACAGAAGAAATAGGAAGTGACTGATAACAGGTAAGGATTTTCTTTTTGGGTATATACAAATTTTACCAGCTTAGAAAATGGTGATAGCAAAGACCCAATCAAAAAATGGGCAACTGAAATAACTAGACACTTCACAGAAGAACTAAAAATGCCTACAAATACATAAAATAATGTACAATATCTCTGGTTATTAGAGAAATACAAATTAAGATAATGCTGAAGCCAGGCACGCTGGTAATTCCAGCGCTAGGGAGACAGGAGGATCACCTGAGACAGGAGGATCATCATGAGTTCAAGGCCAGCCTACATAATAGTGAGTTCAAGGCCAGACTGAACTACATAGTTAGACTGTTTCAAAAACAAATACAAAAACAAACAAACAAAAAATAAAGACACAATTAACAACAATACTTTACTCCAGAAAGAATGGCCACCATCAAGAAATCAACAAAAACAAATGCCGTATAGGCCACGGAAGAAAAGGAACCCTTTTACACTGTTGGTGGGGATTTAAATTAGTGCAACCACTATGGAAATCAGCATGTAGGGTTCTCAAAAAACTAAAAAGAGAAATTTCACTCCATCCAGCCCTCTATTCCTCTTCCATCTATCTTCCTGAAAGAGCTAAAGATACCACATTACAGTGATAAACATATACCCATGTTTACAGCAGCATAATTTATAATAGCTAAATCTTGGGAGTGGCCTACAGTTCCTCAACAGATGAATGAATAAAGAAAAGGAGGCACTTACACACAACGAAGTATTACTCTGTCATAAAAATGGATAAACTTGAGTCATTTGTAGAAAAATGGGGGCTTCTTGAATCCGTAATGTTAAATGAAATAAACCCGACACACAATCTTAAATATCACATGGTTTCTTTTAAACAAGAAACCCAAAATATAAAGACAAAATAAAAGAGATGATAGCAAATAGGGAGACAGATTTCCTACAAGGGGAGACCAAGAGCTGGAGGGGAAGGGAAGGGAGAGGAAGGGGATGGAAAAAAGAATTAAGAGGTATTATATACATGTACCAACTCCCCACAAGAATATAATCATTATGTACACAAATGTAGCAATACAGATTAAAATGGTGATAGAAAAGTCTGTGAATATACTAAAACTGCTTAGTTGTACAGTTACTTTTTTTTTTTCTTTTTCTTTTTTTGATTTTGGAGACAGGGTTTCCTACGGAGTGCAAGATGGCCGTGAACTCACTATGTATGTAGCCCAGGCTGGCCTCAAACTGGAGGCAACCCTCTTGTCTCAGTCTCCCAAGTGCTGGGACACTTCTTTTTTGAGACAGAGTCTCACTACATATTCCAGGCTGGCCTCAAATTCACAGTGATACTCCTGCCTTAGCCCACCAAATGCTGGGATTACAGATTTGTACCACCACACCTGGCTAAAGTTGT